AAAAAACTGGAGAAACAAATATCCTGCCACCTTTAACAAGTACATGAGTACTTGAATTCTATGGTATAAGGCAGGGCTTTTTCTTCCTCTTTTTTGATAGACAAGGCCATGGTGTAAATGAAAGTTTCAGAGAGGACAAAATAAAACTGAATTCCATCTCTCTCTCACTGTATTAAAGCTTTTGTGTGTGATCTTTTAAATTATAATGTATTCTAGCTCTCCTGCATAGGTCTCAAGCTCATCAGTTTACATGCCTGTGCTTCCTGTGTCTTCACAGCTTTCAACTGAATTTTATTTCAAGATTGGAAATATGTGGCTGTTATGCTGTAACTATATACATTTTACTAATTCAAAATGCGAGCTTCAGTAGGAAGACAATTTACTTCTGTCATCTAGATTGTTCTCTATCTGGGTTTTGCAGAACTTCAAGTTGTGGGGATGGAAAGGGGGAGAGGGTGGTTCTTGCAGCAGCAGGAATTCAGTTACAGGAAAGTCAGCTGTAAACAGAAAGCTCATGTGGCATCTTATTTGCTTTGCTTACATTTCTCCATTAAGAAATATTCAGGGAAAGACTGGTAATGACCACATTTTTGGAAAACTACAGGAAGATTTTCATTAAACCTGGAAAACAAGTTACAATGTTGATTTGGAGCCAGATGAACAGGTATCATTAGAGCATATGTTCCTTGTGGATCTTTGGCTGGTTAACATTTGTCATTTGCTTCGTGAAAGCTAAGAACATTTTCAGAGCCATGTACTTGGATTACCTTTCAAACAGGTAGAAATTAGGGTCCACAGAAATAGGCACTTCCTGCCTGTGGTTCAATAAATATTGCCCGAAATATGCAGTCTATCTTAGGTCTCAGGTTTGTGTTCATAGTGCTTAAGTAACTCAGAGACCCCACAAAAGTGAAAAGGGCACCTCTAGGAAACAGGTGATTTCAATTAGCTTTCATAAACTGTGTGCAGGCACAGCAAGCCTTCCCAAAACGATTGTTAGTAGTAGTTCAACCTGGGTTAAGGAGAAGCTTTCTAGAGTGTGAGGTTTTCCTCAGAAAGATCAACATAAGCTTAAACATAATAAACATCCTAAATGGGAATTTTCAGATTGTTTTTGAGGTGAAAAATATTTTAATGTCTTTAAATGGAATTACATAAAGATGGAATTTAAGTATTTTACATGTTGCTATTTAAATATGTATGTTGTGATTTTATGGAACTTGGGTCAATGGGATTGCCTTTTTTCCTAAACAGTTTAAGAAGTCTTTTTAAAATTTAAATACCAGTCTTAGAGTATATAATCCTTATGGGATTCTTAAGTTTTAGCATATCTTGTTTTATTCAAGAAAGCTTTATCAGTGATTTTCATTAGAACCTTTTTTTAAAACTGTTTTTTGGACTAGAAATGAGTTTCTCTAGTTTTGTTTGTTCTCCTGAGTTAACTTTTTTCCCCATGCAATCTGGTGCTGAGGATTCCTGAGTTAACATTGAGTTATCCAATTAATGGAATTTTTGTGGTAAAATTTTAAGCCTAAAATCTATGAACTGACTGTTCGTTTTAGGAGGGAATATCTGTACATGTTAATGATGGGTAGAGCAGAAAACATTTTGAATGTATAGCCTAAAGGCAGTCAGTTACGGGATTTTGGTTTATCGTGATTTTATGGCATGTAAATTCCTAGTGGCAGGGTGCCATGCTGTGTGACTACACTGTGTCCTGACAGTGATAATTTCAATCACCTCTTACCAGTTTGGGCAGTCCCACTACCACCACTATCCTTGTGTTGCTTGACAGGATACCTATGCTTGCCTGGACATAAGGAAAAATCCTTCCCCAATTTTCCTCTCAATCTTGATTATTCGAGAACATACTTTCTTTTCATAATCCAAGTCAATTTAAAGCAAGATTAGATATATGAAATTTTGTAACCAACTCACCTTACCTACACATAACTTGAGGGATTCCTGGTTTCTACCAGTAATACTGAAAAGCACACCTGATTAAAGCATAGGTTTTTTTGTTACAGAAATGTTCATTTAAAAATAAATGGACGTGCAAATTTCATCTCCCTAGGAGATACATTTTATGTACATTTTGGTGTGTTTTTTTCACTATGGATTTCTATTTGTTTCTCTTCCACTTGTTCTTTTTCTGTGTCACTTGTACATCCTAATATCTTTCATACCTCATGTAGTCTCTCAAAGCAGGGCACCCAGTCCTGGATCTTGGTAATGAAACCCTCACTCTGTCCCTAGGGCCTCTGAAAATTAGGAAATAGTGGAGCTATTGCCATCTTGGGTAATGGGTGGGCTTTCTAGAATTGATGTCATCTATCCTGCCAGTGTTTTTTTTATGTTGTGGATATGTTTTCCTTTGACAGGTGAGTTCCACTTGTATTGTTATGATCCTGCCATTATTTTCTGTGTTCTGCAGGGTGTCCCTAAGGTACTTACATATTTTATGAGTTTGCATTAAGGCTATTGAAGCTCAGACGATCAAGTCACTTCTCTGCTCAGAAATCCACAGGGACTTCTTGGTAAGCTCCCATATCAAATGCACCGTTTTTGTTTTTCTGAACCTTACTCCCACTTCTATTAATACCTAACAAGAACCTTAATTTAAGTCCCTTCAGTCCTTCAAGGCCTGGCGTTGTTCTCAAGAAATCTTGACATAAGGTCTATTTCATTGTCCGTTTTCTTTGAACCCCTATAAAGCTTCAAGTCTGTATGACATACTCTTACACCAAATTATATATTGTCTTGTACTGTTCCTAGCTGGTATATGTATATTAGTCTTGTCTCCCTCATGAGAATGTAAGCTCCTTAAGGGCAGGGACTATGTCTTAATTTTTGTATCCACCACAGTGCCTAGCACAGTGCTTGGCACATGGGTGCTGAATAAATACTTTGTTTATTGATCAGCAAACTATTACTGGTATTTTTAATTATAGAGGGATTAATGTGTATGCATGCAAGCTTGTGCCTAGTTGCTGAAGCTTATGTTAGTCTCTGGAAGTGGGATGGAGTAAAACTGAACATGATCAAAGGCCATGGTTTGGTGGTCAGAGAAGCCAAGGTAACCACCAGCTGGAATGGTCACCAGACAGGATAGTGAAGTCCACAGACCATCCCAGACAAGTGAAGAATGAAACCAGGATATTTGAATAGTTATTAGCTTTTCAGCATCTGCATACTGAACTACAAGAGACTTTAATTTTAGAGGTGCAACAGATTTAATACTGCTAATGGGAGAAATGTGGGCAACCTGGCTTGATGCTTATATAAGATTTAATTTTTCAACTCTTTGGATTTCTGAGCCTTGAGGCTACAGAATAGCTGGATCATTAGGCCAGAGATTATGCATGAGTTACCTACAGATAGATTACCTACCTATGTGCTTTGTTTTGCCTATATCATTTTTTTTAAATTAAGCCAATTTTTTTTTTTTTTTTAATTTTTAGAGATAAGAGTCTTGCTGTGTCACCCAGGCTGGAGCAGTGGTACAATCATAGCTCACTGCAGCCTTGAACTCCTGGACTCAAGTGATCCTCCCACCTTAGCCTCCCAAGTAGCTGGGATGACAGGTGTGCACAACCATGCCTGGCTAATTTTTTAATTTTTTTATAGAGATGGGGTCTTGCTGTGTCACCTAGGCTGGTCTCTAACTCCTGACCTCAAATGATATCCTGCCTCAGCCTCCCAAAGTGGTGAGATTACAGATGTGAGTCATCATGCCCAGCTGAGCCAACATTTATTAATAAAATTGACAGATTTCACATGATAATCTTCATTTTTGGCTTTTCTTGAAAAAACTGGAAGATCTGGCAATAGCAGGCGTGTATGATAGTGATTGCCCAGAAGTGATTATTGGCTGTATCTAGAGACAGGACATGTGCTCTATCAAGAGATGATTTCACCCATTTATAATGTTTTTATGTAAATTCTTATAATCATTTGGAATATATGACTCCCACATTAGGTTATTCTGGAAAGCAAACTGGGGAAAAAGGGGTGGGATCTGTCTTTTACTAACTCAAAGTCCATAATTTGAGAGTTAACATAACTAAATAACAGTGTAGTTTTGGGTTGCCTTTCTAAGTTAATATTTAAGGGGGTAGGAAGCAAAAATTTGCCAATTTATTCTTAAACACGTATCTGCTATTGGTTCAACATGCACATTTTCAGTAACCCCTCTTGTTACTACACTATCAGCAACTAGAGGAAAATTACCTCCGACCTGGAGGAAAGGAGAAGGAGGATCTTTAACAGGTTCTTACTGCGGGTGAGTTTCATGGAAATGAATTTAAGATGTCCATCAGAGGTTGACGCTTATAATGTATCCTCTGGAAATCACATTTCCTGTATGCAGAACAAACAACTGCTTGCTAGTCTTTCTGTAGCTAATTAGCTAATCATCTAAGAGCTTTTAATTTAGGAAGGAAAGGAGAAACAAATTATATCCTATTTTCCTTGTTGGAGTTCTGAATCTTCATTGGTTGGAGTGTGTGTGATGGTGCTGAAGAGCTGTAAACTAAAAATAAAATCCTAAACTCTCTACTATAACTGCATTTCTCTTGGACAAGGGGACCCCAAAACGCCTTAAAACTGAGTTATCCAGCTATGAAGGAACGAGAGAGAGGACAATTACATGTGTCTGATTTCCCTTCATAAATATTCATGACTCCTCCTATAGCTTGCTGAATATGTATATTTGACCACCCCTCTCGGTATAAACTGTTGCCTTTGTCTCTTCTTCGAAGCACATGTGCGTAGCTTCTGGCTGTGACTCTGCTTCCTATTCTGTTGGAATGGCCACTCAGCAGGTTGCTACCCTTAATGAAAACTAAAGCTCTCCTTTTTCCAAAGTATAAATTTTGTTAATTTGTTTTTAGTTAACAGAGCCATGTAGAGAACTTGAGAGTCTGGCAGGAATGGTTGAGGAATAAGGGAAGACAAATTTTAGTTCCATTGAACTCCCTCTTTGCTTGTATTACTGGAGCAGACTACATTCATTGAAATAGTCACTGAGGAAAATACATAGTTGTCATAGAATCATAAAATTCGCTTTCCTCTTCTGTAACACAAGATCAATATCCTTTTCAAACTTAAGATTTTATGACATCTGAATGACTTTAAGTAGTTTCTTTACTGTAAATTGTGAATATCAGTATCTGCCATATAATTTGTAAGTTGTATAGAGAATTAAGTGATGCAAATGTGCTTCTCATTGATTTTAAGAACTAAGTACTTTCCTTGAAGAGTGACTATTGAGGACAGAAGAGAAAAACGCGTGTTTACTAGCAAGAAGTGTTACTATAACAATAACGTCGTTATCCGTGACTATGGTCGAACGGAACCACACACGCCGTCTTTCGCGGTTGTCGCTCCGGGTCTTTTCCTGGTTGTACCTCAGACCCTTCCTTTTTCCGTCCCCAGGAAGTGAAAGCCTTCGCCCCCTCCCCCCTGTCCCAGCCAATGCATGTTGGGAGTTGTAGTCCCCTTCCTAAAGCCTGGGAGCAGCCGTGAGGTCATCGGTGGTCGCCTGGAGCCGTTAGCACGTGGCGGGTAAGGGGCGGTGCGCGCTCGCTGCCCTCACTTGTGAGGGGCAGGAGCTGGCGGCGCTTGCGCCTCCCGCCGCGGTGCCCTCCCGACATGCCGGAGGAGGCGGGCTTCCCGCCGGCCAAGAGATTCCGGCCGGGCTCTGGGCCTCCGAGCCGCTCAGGGTCCTTCCCTCCCGGGAGGCGAGTGGTGATGCTGTTGACTGCGGGCAGCGGCGGCAAAGGCGGAGGAGGAGGCCGTAGGCAGCAGCCACCCCTGGGCCAGCCCTCGGCCAGTCCCTACCGTGAGGCCGTGGAGCTGCAGCGCCGGAGTCTGCCCATTTTCCAGGCGCGGGGGCAACTGTTGGCCCAGCTCCGAAACCTGGACAGCGCCGTCCTCATCGGTGAGTGGCCGCGCCGGAGGGCCCTTGCTTGCTCTCCCTGGCTTTTCGAGAACAGCGTTTTTTAGGTGCCTCTCACACACTTTGGTTCGTTTCTTTAGCTAACCTGAACGTGTTTCTGTGCCAGCCCTAGAGAAGGGCATAGGAGCAGAGTGCACAGCCTTGCCCTGGAGGCGCTGGCATCCCCCTGGGAGTGGCCGACTTGTGTAGGCAAAGACTCACCTTCCGGGTGAAAGGGTAGAGGGGCGTACTGGGGACTTTCGGTAGAAGATAGGGTCCAGGCTGTGTGGAGGCGTCTGGGGAGGTGGTCCCGGACAGGAGGCATTCTAGGCAGAGGGCAAGAGGCTGCCTGAGAGACTGTAAACAATCCCCTTGAATGGGAAGTAGTAGTTTCTGGTGCATGAAAAGAGGCAGCCTTGAGGGGCAAGGACTGATTTCAAGGGCTACTAAAGGATGAGCTATTACTGAAGGGAAAGGAGCCTGGAGAGAGCTGGTAGTCAAAGGAATAGAAGGTTGTAAGAAAGGAGTGAAAAGATGCAACAGTGAGGTCAGTAATATGTGGAGTATGTGGGCAAAAAAAAAAAAAAAAAAAAATGCCCACTGGAACCTCTGATGGACCTGTGGGGTATTGATTGTGGATCCCATTGACAGCTATTTGAAGAGAGCTGTGGGGCTAACAGCTGATTTGTCATTAGGCTGAAGAGTAAGTAGGAGGTGAGGGAATGAAGCCAGTGGAAGCAGGCTTCTGCTTTGAGAAGAGGGAGGGAAGCTGACTTACCATGGGGCTATGTCGTGATAAACCCATCATCATAAGTTGAAAATACCATCTCAAAAATTCATTTAATACACCTAACCTATGAAACATCATCATAACTTAGCCTGGCATACCTTAAAAATGCTCAGAACACATACATTTGCCTACAGTTGGGCCAAATCATGTAAAACAAAGCCTATTTTATAACAAAATTATGGAGTATTTCATGTAACTTATTGAATATTATGCAGAAAGTGAAAAACAGCATGATCGTATGGGTAAGTATAGTTTCTGCTTTGCTTTCTGCTTCACACCATCCTAATGTTGAAAAATCATAAGTTGGGGACCACCTATATTCATAGTTGAGGGGACGAAGTAGTTCAGTACAGAGGGAGGCTGAAGATGGAATGGAGCTAACAGAGTAAAGATCAGGAGGCATGGGGAAGGGGGGTGCACTTGACAACAAGGCTAGATACAGTGCTGGCCTAGAAGAGGAGGACTCCTATGTAAGAGGCTATGGGTCTGGAGAAGGGGGTGAGAGTAGTGTGATTGTAGAAAAGCTTGTAGGGGAAGGCAGAGGGAGATCTCATTTGAGAAGCTCACTTTTCCTATGAAACAGGTGCAGGAGCTCTGCTGAGAAAGGAAGTCACATGGCTTCACATAGACACTGGGGAGGATGGAGAGAGACAACAGGCTGTTAAAACAAGAAAAACATTGATGGTAGTGTTGGTGCCTGGGTGCATTTTGGCCCCACCACAAACTCAGGCTTGCCTCTACACAGCCAAATTACAAATTGAGCATCCCAAATCTGAAAATCCAAAATCTATAATATTCCAGTGAGCATTTCTTTTGAATGTCATGTTGGGCACTCAAAAAGTTTTGGATTTTTAGAGCATTTTGGATTGCAGATTTTCAGATTTGGGGTGCTGAACGCATAAGTATAATGCAGGTATTTCAAAATTCAAAAAAATCTGAAATCCAGAACACTTCCGGTCCCAAGCCTTTCAGAAAAGGGATACTCAACCTGTATTTGACTTTAGCAATGCTCAGTTGCCCTGGTATAAGAGCAGGAAAGATTGGCAGAGAGACATTAATCCAAGTTTCAGGTTTTAACCTGGTGGATTCAGCGGGAAGACTGCAGAATAATGAAATTCTTAGTCTATAATTCTTAGCTGGGTCAGGAAGGATGAGCAGGCAAGATGGGGAGTACTGGTGGACTGGGAGAAAATGCACAAATAGTGGTACTGTGGGACTCTGAGGTCAGAGAGGTGTGGTGGTAGCAAGGGAGAAGGATGCACAGCTCTTCTGAGTTTTTGTTCTAATTAGGCACTGTTAAAAGAACACACGTTGGTTAGGAAATAACATTTACTGGGTACTTACTGTATGCAGAATGTTCAGGTTCATGCAAGAGATATTCAGACCTTCTGTGCCCTCCAGGAGCTTCAGGTATTGGAGGAGGACAGACACATTTAAACACTTCTGTACAATATAGGGAGGGTGGTCAGTGGTAGAAGAGAGATGAACAAGGCACCAAGAAGCCCAGAGGAGGGCCACCTGAGCAGTCCCAGGGGAATGAGTCTGAGGCCTGACTCACCCTATAGTTTGCCAGGCAGTCAGTGTGAGAGCAGGTATTCTGTAATAGTGTGGGCAAAGATGGAGGATTTGGAAAAAAGCAGCAGGCTATGGAATGGCGAAGAATTTGTGAAGGCTACAGTACGTGAGTGGATGTCTCTTCATGTCAATACATACAAATGTATATAACGGTCTTATTTTATGTAATTTTTTTTTCTTTTGGAGGCAGAATCTTGTTCTGTTACCCCGGCTAGAGTGCAGTGGCATCATCATAGCTCATTGTAACCTCCAACTCCTGGGCTCAAGCAGTCCTTCTGCCTCAGCCTCCCAAGTAGCTGGGACAACAGGCGTACATCACCACATCTGACTAGTTTTTATATTTTTTGTAGAGCTGGCATCTTGCTCAGCTTGGTCTCAAACTCCTGGCCTCAAATGATTCTTTGGCCTTGGCCTCCCAGAGTGCTAGGATTACAAGTGTGAGCCATTGCACCCAGCCTATTTAATATTTTAGCTGCACCAGATACCCATTGAACATTTATATTATTTCCAGTTTTTTTCTGTTATGGGCAAAGTTGAATAAAACATATTTGTAGCCATATCTTTACATACATCTTTAATTATTTCTTTAGAATCTATTTCTGCAAGTAGGATTGTGGATCAAAGGATATAAACATTTTAAAGACTATTAAAATACAATTTGGCCTCCCAAGAAACAATACACTTAACACTCCACCAGCATGAGTGCCCATTCTCTTGAGGCTTTACCAACTCAAGAGTATTTTCTTTTGTCTTTTTCTTCTGACTTTGAGATGTTTGGTGAAATCTGTTTCACTTTGTATTTCAGTGAAGCTGTGTTTTCTTTCCTAGGGGAAACTGGCTCAGGGAAGACAACTCAGATCCCTCAGTACCTGTATGAAGGGGGGATCAGCCGCCAGGGCGTCATTGCTGTGACCCAGCCTCGTCGGGTGGCTGCCATCTCTCTTGCTACTAGAGTCTCAGATGAGAAGAGAGCTGAACTTGGGAAGCTGGTACCTCATTTCCTTCCTTAGTATCAGTACTTGTTGACTACACAGTTCTCCCACTGTGCCCCCTGCCTTTTATTTTTCTGAGTAAGACTTTTTCCCCCATAGTGAGTGTCTTTCTTACCTATTTTTCTAATTATTTAGGCCTACCTCAGAGTTTTACAGTCTCTGAGAGATCAGAGGCTCCAACAGGCTATCAGGCCCATCTGCTTTGCTTTCAAAATCTGTTTTCAATTGGATAAATTAATTGTTTTCCTTGAGCATCTTTAAGGCTTTGACCTCTGTCTTTGGTAACCTCTGTTAAAGCTCTTATCTATATATCTTTCTGGGAAAAGTGTAAGCATTATTCTAGTGTGTATCGTTAGTATTGAGAATGACTCTCAAAACTGTGTCTATTACAGATTTACTTTGTGTGCGTGTGTATGCCCATTTCACTTAAAAACATCTTGAACATCTTTTCATAGCTATATATGGTTTCACGTGAAACTGTTAAATAGCTTGAGATAGGAGGTTAATTTTAAGTTCTTTCTAATATTTATCATAATTGCAGTTAAGCAAATGTATATGCATTGTCTCCCCAACTAGATGCATGCTCCCTGAGGGAATAGGGCAGGATTGGTGTTGGTCATGTTCACTGTGATAGCACAAGTGCCTAGTCCAGTGCTGGACACAGTGGGTGCTCCAGCAAGTGTTTTATGAATGAATACGTTGTTTCTTCCCACAGGTTGGCTACACGGTGCGCTTTGATGATGTCACCTCAGAAGACACCAGGATCAAGTTTCTAACAGATGGCATGCTTCTGCGTGAAGCAATTTCAGACTCCCTGCTTCGGAAGTACAGCTGTGTCATTTTGGATGAAGCTCACGAACGGACCATCCACACAGATGTGCTCTTTGGGGTGGTGAAAGCTGCACAGAAGAAGCGAAAGGAAATGGGGAAACTGCCTCTCAAAGTATGTACGGCACATTTAACGAAACCGGCCTGTGTTGCTTCCTCCTCTCTGCTTCGGAAGCGAGGAAGAAAGTTAATCATGACAGGGGTGGCACGGGCCTCAGTCATCTGCTTTTCAGGCTTGGGAGGGACACAGAAAGGCTGTCCCAATGTTTGTTTCCCGTTTTCCTCTTTGTTGTCTTTCGTAGGTGATTGTGATGTCAGCCACGATGGATGTGGACCTGTTCTCTCAGTATTTCAATGGCGCCCCTGTCCTCTACCTGGAGGGGCGGCAACATCCAATCCAGGTTTTTTACACCAAACAGCCTCAGCATGATTACCTGCACGCAGCGCTTGTCTCAGTCTTCCAGATCCACCAGGTATGGAGTGGGGTGCAAATTCCCAAAAAGCTCTGTTTTACCTTGCAGTTGGTAGCAAGAGCATTCAGCCTTGAAAAGAAAACCTACTGAGTAAAACAGCTTTGTGAGGTGTGTCAGCGAGATGGATAAGGTGTTCATTTGTCATGTCCAGTTTTAATCCTTTATTTATGGTATCTCTTATTTTCTCCAAAAAGAAAAATAATTCATCTGTGATCATCATCTATCCTCTGCTGAGCCAGGAAACTTCCATATGTTAGAGCAATGGCTTACCAACATTTTTTTAATCATAATCCCCAGAAAGAAGTGTGTTTTGTGTTGCAATCCAGTACATAATATATTTATAACTGAAATAAGTCTATGAAACACTACCTCTTTTTACTACATGTGATATACTCTGATATTTCCTATCTCATTGAAAAAAGAAAAAAGTTGATGTTGACCCAATAATGGGTTGCAACTTAGAGGTTTTTCTTTTTTCTAAACTATATCAGGGAGATATTTCAAAATCACTTCTCAATTTATTAAATATTTACTTTAAAAATTAGAGTGACTGATAAGTTCATTTCTGTTTAATTTGTATAAAATTGGCTGTTTTTACCTTCCAGTTAACTTTCTGAGAAACTCTAGGGACAAACTTTTTAAAGTAAATTTAAAAACATTTTTTAAAATTTTTTGTAGAGATAGGGTCTTACTATATTGCCCAGGCTGGTCTCAAACTCCTGCCCTTTAAACAGATCCTCCATCTTGTCCTCCCAAAGTACTAGGATTATAGGAGTGAGCCACCATGCCTGGCTATTTTTATCTTAAACTAAGTGATGCATGTGGAGTTTAAAGTTTTAAAAAGTCAAGTAGTTAATATTACAAGGCTTGTAATAAAAGAATAACAGTTGCTTTCACTTCCTATCCCAGATTCCTGATCTTTAGGGTACCCACTTTCAATCTTAGCTGTTTCCTTTAGATATTACTTTTATGTTTCTAAAATACCCTCTTTATACTGCTATTTCTTGAGTTACCAATATCAGGTATTATGTGCTAATTTCTTGCCATGGTGATGAGGATCTTTTTTGTTTTCATGTTTTGCTATCTTCATTTCTTTTATTTTCTAACAAACTATATCATTGAGTATGCATGATGAAGATTTAGAAATGCCCCTTCCTACTCCCTCTTTCCTCTGTCCTCTCGACATAGTTCTATCACAATATTTGTTTGTTTGTTTTGAGATCAGGGTCTCACTATGTTGCTCAGGCTAATCTTGAACTTCTGGGCTCAAGTCATCCACCCATCTCAGCTTCCTAAGCAGCTGGGACAACAGCTTGCACAACGTGATGTTTTTAAAATCCAGTATCAGTATTAACAATATTATGATTATATTGCAATTAATAGTAGCATCCCTGTAACTTGTTTCTTGGACAACACAGTTGTGTGAGTTTCCTACGTAGCTATGACTAATTTCTCCTCAAATGTTCCAACATCTCTCATATACCAATGAATATTTGTTCTGTGTTCAGACACAGTCCATCTTTTCCCAGAGTCTGTTATGCTGCTGTTCCAATTAGAACAGGTGGCTCTTCTAGGCCTCTGTTGCAGCTGTCATATTGATTCTTCCCTTCATCATTTTCCTGGGTGAAGCCCATTATTGCACCCCATGACTTCCTAGCCTCCTGCCTGCGCTGTGTAAAGGAGGGAACCTGGGGGTTTAACCACACTGTACTCAGACTTTGAGCCATTCCCTGAGTTTTACTCTCCCAAAACACACTTCTGCCTTGCTCCCCTAAGTTCCAAGTTTTCTTTGCTTCTCCAGGCAATTGGCTCATCTCCTGTCACTATTCCCCTTAGCAGGTAACAAGTTTATAGCTTCCTCTGCCCAGCCAAGTCATTCAGCCCATCTTTTAAAAATGGGTCAAACTCTCTCATCTCCCATTGTCTTTGTCTTTCTGGGACAATGACCTTCACTGACATTTTGATAGTATTTGAAACTTGAAATGAGAATTTTTCAGGAATGATGGCTGTTGGTGCGTTCAGGTTACATGATAGCTTTGATGAATTCTCCCACTGATGAAGTTTTAACTTTTAGATTTTGTCCTGGCTGTATATACCTGTGAACATTTGACCTGTTAGTACTGGGCTTTAAAAAAACCCATATATAAATATATTTTTACATACATACATAAATACACACATATAATTATTATTAAACACTTAAAAATTATTTTGCCATCAAGTACTTTATATCAAGCAAATTAATATATCTGTACAAACATCAAAGAAAGATCAAATAAATGGATATGTCTTCAATACTTGGATGTTATTCCCTTTGAAGGTGAAGAATCCTGTTAACCTCAGTGTCTCAAGCAGTTGTCAAAATTTAGTGTACTTTTTTGGGTGTGTGAAAGTGCTTTTGATGGCATCACAAAATAAAGGCCCCTTTTCCAGCGTGACTACTTGATTTCCACAAGTTGTCTTCTTGTTTTTGTCAGCTTTATCTTTCAAGATGCTTATGAAAGGAAGGAAGCTTCTTGCAGATTTTATTTGCCTGCCTGATTTTGCTTTTCATGGTATTGTTCTTATTACAAAAGCAATCTAGTGATTCTCTTTCAGAATTTCCTTAATTGGTTTTTAAGCCTAGCTGGCTAACTCGCATATGTTACAGTTTCATACACTGCTGGTGGGAGACATTAGAATTTAGGCTCATTTACATCTCCATAGTTAAGAAAAATAACTCTAGGAAACATCATCAATGGCCATTGTATTTTTCTGTGCACTTCTGCCAATGCCTGGTGATCCCACTCCACCTTTTTTATAGGAAGCCCCTCCTTCTCAGGACATCCTGGTGTTCCTCACGGGTCAGGAGGAAATTGAAGCAATGAGCAAGACCTGCCGAGACATTGCAAAGCACCTTCCAGACGGCTGCCCCTCAATGGTGGTCCTTCCTTTGTACGCCTCCCTGCCCTATGCACAGCAGCTCCGTGTCTTCCAAGGGGCCCCAAAGGTGAGTGCACTATCTCGTCTATCCAGCCCCATCCTTGGGCACTCAGAGGGATCCACCATTGGCGCCTGTGTGCTTGTCACCAGGCTCCACACAAGGTGTATGGGATGGAATGCTCAGATACCAGATCGACTAGTTGAGAAGGTGCAGGAATATAACGCACAGCTACAGGTAGAGCTCTCTTGTGGTAAAAACAGAGAAACAGCTGGGCTCAGTGGTTCACACCTGTAATCCCAGTGACTCGGGAGGCTGAGGCAAGAAGATTGCTTGAGGCTAGGAGTTTGAGACCAGCCTGGGTGACATAGGGAAACACTGTCTCTACAAGAAAAAAATTAAAAAATTAGCAAGATGTGGTGTGGGCCTGTGTTCAAGCTCAGTGTCTCAAAGAGTTGGGCTATTTGAGAAGTTGAGGCAGGAGTTCAAGGATACAGTGAGCTATGATCCTGCAACTGCACTCCAGCCTGGGTGACAGAGTAAAGCCCTATCTCTTTAAAAAAAAAAAAAAAATTCTCCAGAGAAACAATTGCCAGAATGAGGGAGAGTGCAAAGACAAGAGCTGAAAGGTGAACAAGTGCCGCATCTAAGGGCCAGCATAAACTACGTTTGTCCATAGTGCCATTTATTGTGGGCTTCTGCTGCCAGGCACCATGCTAACACTTACATACACTGTCTCTCATCCTCACGGGAACCAGCAAGGTGGGTTATGACCCCGTGGAGATACTGAGGCCCCAAGAGGGGAACAGTTGCTTAAGGGGCACACAGTAAGTAACTGGCAGGGCCAGGTTTCCAACCCACTTTCCAACCCAGCTACTTTCTTCTGAATTTTATGTTTGTTCCACTACATCTCATCACCTGAAATTAACCTTTAGGACTGCAGCTTCCACTGTACCCCTGCCCACTTTAAGGACTTACCATTAATATTAATGACTGCCATTAATAATGAAGTCATCTTTTCTTGGTCATGAGTGAATTGTGGAAATTAATGGTGAGAATATGTTTTAACACTTCTGACTCATATGTGTATCATACAGCTTTCTGGTTTTCTTCCTCCTTTCAGGGCTATCGCAAAGTGATCATTTCAACCAACATCGCTGAAACCTCCATAACCATTACAGGAATAAAATATGTAGTTGACACTGGCATGGTTAAAGCAAAGAAGTATAACCCTGGTGAGAATTTGTAGCTCATGAATGTCTTTCCTGTGTATAGCGAGCAACCATTGGCACTAGTCCCACAGTTTTCTACCAAGTGAGCATGTCATGTTTGTGACTAAGTGAGATTTGGGTGGCAGGCACCATGGGTAAGACAATCCACAAGTCAAGTCCAGAAAGGAGACCTGAGGCAGATAGGTGAGACAATAAGTCAAGGAAGGAAGAGCCCAGGTTTAGCAAACTTGGGAACAGAGGGTCAGGGACCTGGGCAGAGGTCTGGAACCCATTAGAAGTTGCACAAGACTGATAGCTCTACGGAGGCCAGGGACAGCCTAGGCCAGTGAAAGGCTCTCATCATAAATTATATTTAAGTGTGGCTGATTTGAGTGCCCAGGTTTTCCAGGAAGGAAACAGATGTCCTGGGATGGGGTAAAGGATGGAAGTGAAACACTAGCTATCTCCTGAGAAGGTACATTGGGAAGCTGGCTTGAAGTCATTTTTACCCATGTGTGTTTTGTATCTTGATTTATTCCACAGAGGATTTGAAGCAGCTGAAATTATTGATCCCAAATAAGTAACTGAAATGCTATAGTAAATATTTGAGGGTGCTTTCATAAGTGTATCTCCTAGAGATGATGTAGGTGAAAGAGCTTGGGTCTCCAGTGCCTGACACAGAATATACTTTTACCAAGCAGATGAATCTCATTTACTCCTAGGAAACAAACATCACAGTATCTCTGTTTAATAATAGAAGTAGGCCAGGCTCACGCTTGTAATCCTAGCCCTCTGGCAGGCCAAAGCGGGTGGTTCGCTCGAGGTCAGGAGTTGGAAACTAGCCTGAGCAAGAGCAAGACCCCATCTCTACTAAAAAAATAGAAAGAAATTAATTGGCCAACTAAAAAAATATATAGAAAAAATTATCCGGGCATGGCGGTGCATGCCTGTAGTCCCAGCTACTCGGGAGGCTGAGGCAGGAAGATTGCTTGAGCTCAGGAGTTTGAGGTTGCAGTGAGCTAGGCTGATGCCACGGCACTCTAGCCCAGGCAACAAAGTGAGACTCTGTCTCAAAAAAAAAAGAAATAGAAATAGAACTAAAAGGGAGGATAAAGCACACAAATGACTTGAGGCATTTCATTTCTGATTCATTGATTGATATGGTATTCACTGATTGGTTGGTATGATATGGCCAACCATCCTAGTTTGCTGGAAGCTGTTCCAGTTTTAGCACCAAAAGTCCTGCATCCGGGCAATCCTCAGTTCCAGGCAGACTGAGTTGTTAGCCATCCTGTAATCTAAGCCAATACCTCTGACACTACGCTCCTGGCACCTTGCTCCCTGCATGAGATTTTTTTGATGCTTTCCTAACAAATTTCATACAGGGCTCATCACAAAACCTTGTTTCACTATGGGGCTAAACCACTGCAGAGCAGCCTTGTTTTGTGCTTTCTAATTTAGCTTTGAGTTTCTGGACCCCTGTATTGCAGAAAGAATCACTGGTGTTCTGAGGAGTGCTCCTTTTTCTCAACATTGTAGAAACAGTTGGTTTATGTGACAAGCAAAGCACTGATGGGGCCCATTCTCCCTCCAGACAGTGGTCTTGAGGTGTTAGCGGTGCAGCGGGTATCAAAGACCCAGGCCTGGCAGCGCACAGGGAGGGCTGGCAGAGAGGACAGTGGCGTCTGTTACCGGTTGTACACTGAGGAGGAGTTTGAGAAGTTTGAGAAGATGACTGTGCCAGAGATCCAAAGGTAGGCTCCAGTTGCTCCTACCTTCCTGCCATGTGTCCCCATGTCTCCTTCCTGTTTGCTAGTGCTTGCCCAGAGCTGCAGCGTTCACTCGCACTCCTTGGTGAGAGGTTCTGACTCACTGACGGGCGTGATGAACGACCCTCGTCTCTCACTCTTCCCAGGTGTAACCTGGCCAGTGTGATGCTTCAGCTCCTAGCAATGAAAGTCCCAAACGTGCTCACCTTTGACTTCATGTCCAAACCGTCTCCAGGTAAGCGGAGTCCTCAGTGTAGTGGAAGGTAGAGGAGTAGGTAAACAACGACAAATGGGCTCTTCCAAAAAATTAAATATTTGGAAGAAAAAAAGTGTTTTGGTCATCTCCTTTTATTTACTTAATTTTGTGGATCACAATATTTGCTGTCAGAGAAGCATCTCAAAATTATGAAATGATAGATTTGTTTGTTTTTTAGAGTCGGGGTCTGAAATGTTGCCCAGGCTGGAGTGAAGTGGCTATTCACAGGCGCAGTGATTAGTGCGTGCCACCGCGCCTGGCTGTGGAATGATGGATTCTGTGTTGTCAATATCATCATAGAGGGAACCACAATCAGGTTCCTTGACCTCTGGAACCAGTAAAGGTCATGAGGGGGCTCCATGGGATGCTACAGAAACCTAATGAAATTGTACTTTATCAGCACAAAGACTGCAAAGATCATATTTCTTTGCTTTTATCTGTAATTTGATCAGTCCCTGCCCTTCATTAATAATCTCTTGTTGGGTGAGGTGGCCCATGCCTGTAATCCCATAACTTTGGGAGGCTGAGGCAGGAGGATCACTTGAGGCTAGGAGTTTGAGGTTGCAGTGAACTATGATCAGTCCACTGCACTCTAGCCTGGGCAACAGAGCTGTACCTTCTCTCTTGAAAAAAAAAAAAACAAACAAAAGTAATCTGTCTATGGAGGAAGAAAACAATAATTGGGATTCTTAATGATAGGAGCTTTGGCACTTGGCCTCTCATCAGTACATCATTTTTCCTTTTTGTTTTTCCTCTAAGTGAAGAAATAGAATTGGTTAAAAAAAAAAAAAGAAGAAGAAGAAAGAAGTAAACTATTGATGGGTACACAAGGGTCTCACCCTGATCCTCAGATTCATAGTTTTCCTTCCCTGGAGCAGCAGCTACTGAGACCATTTTTCTAGTCTTTAGAAAAACCTATGTGTATGCGAGTATATGTAGTCTGTTTTAAAACACAAATAGCAACAACACACATTGTACACTGTTCTACGTTTGATTTTTTTTTTCTTTTCAGTGCTCAATCCCTACAAACAATGTAATAACATATGTAAGGTATAAGGGGTAATAAAATCAAACACTTGTGTACCCATTCCCAGGGCCATCCAAGCTTCTGGGAGCCCTCCCTGGCCACCCTTAGCTCCTTCCACTCTCTTAGGGTAACCACTCCCCCTCATTTTGTTTGTAATTCCCTCACTTTTCTTTATTGTTTTCCTATATGAGTATATGTCCCTAAATCTGTTGTTTCAGTTTGCATGTTTATGTATTTATTCTTCAGTAACCTTCTGTTTTCATTCAGCATATACTTTAAGGTTTATTTGTGTTGATGCTTTTTCACCACTAAATGCTCTTCCATTCTGTGAATAAACCAAAATGCATTTATCCATTCTTCTACTGATAAGCATTGCTTTAGAAAAGCAATGAAAATCACATTGCTTTTTTCACTTACTGTATTATATAGATCATTCCCTGTTAGTATGTATATATTTATGACATCCTTAGAAATTCTTTTTTATTCCTTAATAGGTAATGCATTTACATGGTTAAAAATTTTTAAAGTATAAAAGAGTAATAGTAAATATCATCCTTCTCATCCTTTGTCCCCCAGCCTCCCAGGTGGCCTCTGAAGCAACTGGTATTTCCATTGTTCTGTGTTTGCTTCTGGAGATATGGTCTCTGTACAATGTATGAGTGTATCTAGGGGTGAAATTTATAAGTGTAACATTTCTGGGTCAAAGGGTATGTGTATTCAAAATTTACTTACACGTTACCAAATTATATAGGTCATTTTAAAAGGGAATTGAAATGAAGACAGTAATGTTGTTAACAGCTTTAAACCAACATTTTGGTTTATTCAAGCATGTCAAGGGGCCAGTGGTGGTTGTGATCTTTGCTGTTGTTTGATATAGAGTTATCAAAAGTTCCTGGAAGTACTGAACTAGCTGCAACTTCATCCTTTTTTTTGGATTTTTGGCTCCTCTGTTTCTTTAGATCACATTCAGGCGGCCATTGCCCAACTGGACCTGTTAGGTGCTCTTGAACATAAGGATGACCAGCTTACCCTGACTCCAATTGGAAGAAAGATGGCAGCATTTCCTTTAGAACCCAAATTTGCCAAAGTAAATGATACCCTCTCCTCAGTCCCCTTTCTGTACATTACAGGTTAGCCATCCCAAAGTTGACTCCTGAAACCAGTGCTTCTAGATTAACCTCACTTTTTCTCTTAAATGATTATTAGCCCCTACTTTGTATATAACCCTGATTTATGTTCTATGTGGGATTCAAAGACATACTAAACCACAAGGAATTTGGAATCCTGTGGGGAAGGCATTCATCTGTTTTACAAAAAAGTAAAGTAACATTAATGTACATAGTCATGGTTTTAGAAACACTTGCCCTTGAACTCCTTAGAAGGGAAGCTCCAAAGTAATATACAGAAATACTGTATTCAGGAGGTAGGAAAAAGCTGGGTTTACACAATTTTTAATTCTGATTTGCAGACCATCCTCCTGTCTCCCAAATTCCACTGTACAGAGGAGATCCTGACCATTGTCTCCCTGCTGTCTGTGGACAGCGTCCTCCACAACCCACCTTCCCGGCGGGATGAAGTGCAGGGGGTCCGGAAGAAGTTCATATCCAGCGAGGGGGATCACATTACCCTGCTCAATATCTACCGAACCTTCAAAAACATAGGTGGAAATAAGGTGAGCCTTGTCCTGCTCCTTTTCTCAAATGATGCTGCTGCTTTCAGGCACACGTGTGAAGTGCACCTTCCTTCCCTCCTTGGCTGAATCACCTAAAGAGCCATGAAAAGAAAGCCAGGTGTCATTTCAGAGATGTATGAATACTGGGAGGTTACTAAGGCAGAAATGTCGTTCTGGCTTTCGTTCTGCTTCTGTTTAACTCTTACTTTATATGGGCAAGTTAGTTAAAAATTTGGTGACTCGATTTCTTAGCCAAAGATTTCCCCCCCCCCACCTATCCCTAATTTTCTTAATAGTTTTTGCTATTACGATATTTCAGGTCCTTGGACCAAGATGGAAAATGGCAATATATTCTTTCCTCTAGTGATAAAATCAGTAATCATGCCATAGTGTGCATGCTTTCACTTAAAACAAAAAAGCCACCACGTAGTTTTAGTAGTTGTAAACTTTTTGTTATATTTATGCTTCAATTTATTTTTAAGGAAATAAAATGCTGTGGATAAAATAAAAGCCCTGTTCTGCTCCTTAGTCCTTCCTCCTGTATGTAAGCACTGGCTTGAAGTTGAGGTGTGTTCTCCATGGGTGAGAGTATACTTCATAAATCCGTCAAGGCCAGGCGCGGTGGCTCACGCCTGTAATCCTAGCACTCTAGGAGGCCGAGGCGGGCGGATTGCTCAAGGTCAGGAGTTCGAAACCAGCCTGAGCAAGAGTGAGACCCCCATCTCTACTATAAATAGAAAGAAATTAATTGGCCAACTAATATATATATATAGAAAAAATTAGCCAGGTATGGTGGCGCATGCCTGTAGTCCCAGCTACTCTGGAGGCTGAGGCAGCAGGATTGCTTGAGCCTGGGAGTTTGAGGTTGCTGTGAGCTAGGATGACACCACAGCACTCACTCTAGCCTGGGCAACAAAGTGAGACTCTGTCTCAAAAAATAAAAATGAAAAAATAAATCCATCAATATGGTTATATGATAAATATAAATATTTTCTTACACTGTCTTTTTGCAGCTTGTTTCTATTTCCTGCACTGCAATGAACATCGTGCGCAGGTCTTCTGTGCTCATGGGGCAGAGTTTCTCTAAGGCCGATCCCTAAGAGTAGACCTGCTGGGGCTTGAGGTACTCTCTCAGCTTTGTGAGGCTGACAAGTGGCTCCCCAAAGTTGGCAACACCTCTCTATACTCCCCATAGAAATATGAGTTTCCATTTCCATCATCCTCTCCAACTCTTAGCTAAAGTGACTTTAATTTTTACCAAGTGGATGGATGTGAAATAGTATCTCAAGTTATATTAAACTTCATTGCCATGATTCCTTAAGAGATGAAGATTCCTTAATAACCTTATTGGGCATTTATATTTCCTCTTCTGTGAGTTGTCTGTTCATATATTTGTCCATTTTTCTACTGGATTGTTGGTCTTCTTGATGATTTGTAGGACTTTTTTTTTTTAATATTCTGGAGGTACTGATTCTTTATTGATTATGGTGGTGCAAGTATTCCAAATCTGTATTTTTTGTCATGGTGACTTAGCATAAGGAAATTTTTAGTTTTACTTTAGTTTAAATTATTAATATTTTCCCTTACGGTTCGTGCTTTTTGATATAAAGATATTTTCCCACATTCTTTTTTATCATCTGAAGTTCTTCCTCTGAATCAAACTGTTCTAAAAATTTTTTAATATTCTTTCCTCTATAGAAATGAGAGAATTATAATATCTCTTTTTCTCCTATACAGGATTGGTGCAAAGAGAATTTTGTCAACAGCAAGAATATGATGCTAGTAACCGAAGTGAGAGCACAGCTGAGGGACATCTGCTTAAAGGTATTATCTCTTCCTGGTGTTCTTTGGGGCACTAAACTGTCACTTTTTTCCAGGTGAAAAATTTTATTTTTTTTGAGACAGAGTCTGGCGCTGTTGCCCAAGCTAGAGTGCCATGGCATCAGCCTAGTTGACAGCAACCTCAAAGTCTTGGGCTCAAGCAATCCTTCTGCCTCAGCCTGCCGAGTAGCTGAGACTACAGGCATGCGCCACCATGCCTGGCTAATTTTTTATATATATTTTTAGTTGTCCAGATAATTTATTTCTATTTTTAGTAGAGATAGAGCCTCGCTCTTGCTCAGGCTGATCTCAAACTCCTGACTTTGAGTGATCCACCTGCCTTGGCCTCCCAGAGTGCTAGGATTACAGGCGTGAGCCACCACGCCCGGCCCCCAGGTGAACAATTTTAAATTGCTTATTGCTAGTGATTATAAAACGAATTCTCATTGAAGGAAATTTCACAAATCAGGAAGAAAGGAAAAATTAGCCACAGTTCTACATCTCAGTATTTTGGTTATTTCCTAATAACCTATTTTTATTATATTTTTTATATAGTTACATTATATGTGTAATTTATATTAAGTTTTATGAACTTTATAAGCATTTTCTAGTGTTATTGGAATTCTAAGGATTTTTTTAGTCGTATTATCTTTATTTTTTTCAGGTTACAAAAGCAGTGCATAATTGTAAATACTGATACAATGCAGAAAATAGTGATTTGTAATGCAGTAATTTTAAAAGCCTCCTATAATCCTGCCCCTCCAGAGATAATCACTGCTAACAGATTGGGGGAAGATTCTTCTAAAATTTGTTTCTTTATATGTATGTTTTTGTGCATCTGTCTCTATGTGCAGACATACAAACGGATATGTATATCAAATTTTTCTTTTACAACAAATATGATGTACATGCTGTTCTGCAAGTTGCAGCGAAGTGGTATACTTCTTGAATACTTACTGTGTCTGAGCTGCCTTTCAATGTCTGCGTATGTGTATCTCATTCCTTTTAGTGACTTCATAGCATTTCATTGTATTGTCAATGGAAAATAACCAAAACTTTGTAAAATAATTTAAAGAGGTTTACTCTGAGCCAAGTTTAAGGACCATGGCCCAGAGCCATGCCCAAGAAGCCTTGAGCAAGTGGATTCGCTGTGGTTGAGTTATAGTTTGGTTTTATACATTTCAGGGAGACAGGAATTACATGTAAAGTCATAAATCAATAAATGGAAGGCATATGTTTGTTTGGCTCGAAAAGATGGGATATCTCAAAGCGGGGTTTGGGGAGAACTTACAGGTTATAGGTGGGTTTAAAGATTCTTTGATTTGTAATTGGTTAAAGAAATGAAGCTCTGTCTGAAGCTTGGAATGTTTTAAGATAAAAAGTCTGCTAATCAGAGATAAGCCACCCAACATACCCAGATTCAGGTGGTCTTTTAAGTAAATTGAGGATCTGCAGGTGTGGCTGAAGTTTTGTCTTGTGTAACCTTAGGCCTGTTAATGAGTTGCAAAGGGTATCTCTAAGAAGGGAGTGGGGCGTGATGAGGCATGTCTGACCTTCCTTGGCCAGCAACTCAGCTTTAGGGTATTTCTGGGGTCCCCTTGGCCAAGAGGGGGTCCATTCAGTCAGCTGGGGGGCTTAAGATTTTTCTATTTTAGTTCACAGTATTCACTATAATTTCTTTAACAATGCCTCTAATGGTGGTTTGCGTTATGCTATAATGACCATCTTCCCACATATGTCTTTGTGCTCTGGTGCACATAGTATGAATTTCTAGAATGGGGGATTTAGATTTTGATAGATATTGCCAAAGTGTCCACCGCAAAGTATACCACTTGGTTGCAAGTTGCAGAACATCTAAATACTTTTCATGTGATTACTCCTCACTTCAACCCACAAGGATTCTGTTGTTATTCCCATTTTACAAATGGTAAAACTAAGCCTAATCAGATTAAGTGATTTGCCCCAAAGCACACAGCCAGTGAGTGGTACAGCTGGCAGTCTAGACGGAGAGACCACCAGTTAGCCTCAGGGCTTCCTGGAGGTGGCCACAATTGAGCTACCTCCCTGATAAAGGGATAAAAGTGTCTTCATCAGGCAAGGATCAGCTGATTGCTAAAAACAAAAGCCCTTGAGCCATCATAAAGGAAAAAAGAGAGAATTTTCAAAGGATAAAGAGGTATCTCTTGGAACCTATGGGCAGGATATAGAGTCACACCCCACAAGGAACTGGAGAAAGCAGCTCCTTTCTCTGGACCAGCTGGTCCTTTTGTTATGGCTTCTGCCCTCTTCTCACCTTGTACCTCCTTGACATGGCCTCTCCACTCAACAGCCTAACAGATTGACTGGATTTACCACTTAAGACCTAAATGCCTGGAAGAGAGAAGCTGACCAGTTAGGTCAAACAAGTGTCCACCACTGGTCTATTTGGCTATGGCCAGAGGTACAAGGTTATATGACCCACTCAGCAAGGGCGGTAAGAGCAAGGACATTGGCTGACAGCCGACATTTCCCCTGCAAAGATGACGGGCAGCATTTCTACTAGGAGCAGCAAATGTGAAGGCACAGAGATACGAATCGTGAAACGGGGCTAGGGGAAAGAAGGCAGCGACTATGGGGGACCATGCAATGTCCAAGAAGATGGGTGAGAGAGAAGACAGGCGAGGCAGGCTCAGCGTGGCTCGCTCATGGCTTCACCTCAAGACGTTGGCATTCTTTTTTGCCAGGAGCAATAGAGACATTGAAGGTTTTTGAGCCGGTGAGAATGATTTGAGTTGTGCTTTAGGAAGATTAATTTGGCAACACTGGGTAAGATGAATTGGAGTGAGGAGATGAAGACATAGTCAGCACAACAGGGAAAGGCCTTTCCCTCCTGGGATGTCTTGATGGATGTTTAGGGGACGGGCCTGGGTCACCCAACCTGCCTGTGGTTTATATGAGTGTCTCCTTCCCAGTCCTTACGCTCCCAGGCTGTGGTTTCCCAGTTTTCAGCCCATCCTCCTTGAGCTCTGCCTTCTTTCCCTGACCTTGCTGATCCTGAAGGCATGGGAGGTAACCACCTCTGCATGTCAAAATCCACTTTGTTGGGCTTGCAGTATAGGCTGCATTTTAGGTCCAGTTCTAACACACCATGCAGTGTTGAGCAGTAGTGAGCAGTAGTTATGTTCAGGGTCTTCTTTCATTTCTTGCTTTCTCCTGGAACAGATGTCAATGCCAATCTTGTCATCCCGAGGAGACATGGAGAGCGTCCGCCGCTGTCTGGCTCACAGCCTCTTCATGAGCACCGCTGAGCTTCAGCCAGATGGTACCTATGCCACCACGGACACCCACCAGCCAGTGGCCATCCACCCCTCATCTGTCCTCTTCCACTGCAAGCCAGCCTGCGTCGTGTACACCGAGCTGCTTTATACCAACAAGTGCTACATGCGGGACCTCTGCCTTGTGGATGCCGAGTGGCTGTATGAGGCCGCCCCCGAGTATTTTAGGAGGAAGCTGAGAACCGCCAGAAACTGAGCTGTTCCAGGGTGCTGCCAGGATTGCTGGTGCCTGGGAGCGTGGACCACAGCTATCCTCATAGCAGACTTCCAGGTTGGCACCTAGAGAAGCGGCAGATTTTAGTGCAGCTAAATGTGCCCAACTTCCAGGAGCTCGAAAGCATCTTTGCTTAAACGTGTGGCACTGAGCCATGTAGATGTGTACATATCATTTATATCCTGAAAACTTCAGAATTACGTTTTTGGTTCTTGCTGGGTGACTTTGGGTGGCTTGGTTAACTTCTGAGCCTCAGTTTCCTCATCTGCCAAATGGGGATAATAATAGTAATACTTACTGGGGTCGTGAAGTGTAGAGAAAGTGAATAGAAAGTACCCAGAGCTATTCCTGGCACATGAAAGACACACAGTGAGCTGTGAGCCATTATGCTTAATGTTACTGCTTTCTACGTGATGTGAATTAAGTACCACAAAATACCAAGTTCTTGTGACTGAGGGGGATTTTCTAGAAGGGGGCCACAGGAGGTTGCAGAGCTTGGATGTTTGTTGTCCTTGGTTCTATTTTAATGTCTATCGGTAGGAAGCTTTAAAATGGCAAATACAAACAATTGACTTCTGTAGAAGTTTCCAGAGGGGGAGGTGCTGTTTCTTACCTCCTGGGATGACCATCCCTACTGAACCCTCAAGTCTCAGGGGGTGGACTCCCCTCTGTCTTCAAGCAGAGCCCAGTGGAGGCGTCACTTGGTCCTCCATACTTCTGTGATGCATGTTCCCTTTCAGTGCTTTCAAGAGACTTAAGTTTCCTGGGCAAAGGTTGATTTTTACCTTCTGAATCCTGTCAAGTGTAGACATGGAAAACTGACTTTTTAGTGTCCTGCCACATACCCGTTTTTCATTTTTCTGTGAGCATGAGGAATGACTCTATGCTCCATTTCAACTGTTTCTCTTTGGGCAGGGCCCCTGGCCAGAGCTGTTGGGGGTGGGAGGGAGGAGGAGCATGGTCAGCGAGAACCCAGAGAGCATTGGTTCATTCCAGCCACCACATCTGGTCTTACATTCTTGCCTCATACTGATTTTCTATGATTTTTTCCTTCTTCATAGGGACTTGGAGACAGTCAGGCTTTGCTACTTCCTAACTGCCAGGCACCTCTCAAACCCTCATTGTCTACATTCCTCAGAGGGAATGAGAGGATCTCGACAGTCTCTTTCTATTCTGATACTTTGAAAAGGGAAAAGACACTATTAGTTCTTCTTTACTATTTAATTATCCAAAGCAAATAATCTTTCCCCAGAGAATGTTTTGCCCTAGAAGAAATGAAGATTTAGCCATTTTTATAATTGGTCCAAACACATCTGTCCAGTATTTTGTCACTTCTTACAGGATGAATCAAACAGTTTATTAGCAGAGGGCCAAAATGCCTAAGAGGCTCTTCAAAGACCATGGACAGTCTCTTCATTCTAGATCCAGTGAGCGCTTTTCAGAGACTGTGGCCTGCTAGAGTATCCTCTGTTCCAGGGTCTCATCTGTCCACAGTTGTACATGTCAAATCTGCCTCGGTCTTTATTTATAACATTAGCCATGGTCCTGAGCAGTTAAGCTTTTTGCCAGTGTTTAGGGGTACCTGAGCACTTGTGATTTATTTGTGTTAGAAATGGTTATATTTAGGACAAATAAGATTTGACAGATCCTAGATACCTTATCTTATTAAATTCGTAAACTTTGTTCTTCCAAAGATTAACTTGTTCTTACCATTGATGACTTTCTGAAAAGTTTTCCAGAAAGTTTTTTTTTTTTTTAGTGTATTTTTCCCATTCATGTAACAGGAAGCCAGGATATTTAGCCTGACTTGGTAAAAGAAAATATTGTATTTTTAATAAAACATGCATCATGTTGGTAAAACATTAGGGGTGGGACACTTTATTATGTTCCTCAACAAATTATTTCTCTAGCTAGAGGTGTCCTCTGGGTCAAGTAAAACTTAACTTGGAGTCATTTATGTCCAGCTTAGGTACCCGAACAGTTTGCAGAAATGTATATTTTTTTCTGAAGGGTAAACAATTTAAATAGCTTCTACATAGCTTTAATGTTTCTGTACAGAAATATGTTTATCACTGTAACATTGTGGTAGAGTTTTAATAACAGTATTTAGTTTTTTATTGGGCTTTTTAAATAAAAAAGTTAATTTTTAACATAGCTGCTCAGGGATTAAATCAGATTGGAAAACCCATTCTGACTCCACATAATACTACAAAGAAATAAATCGTTATTCATATTGAGCTGCAGGGGATAGTATACCTAAACTTTCTTAAGAAAGTTAAGTGTTTCACAATGATACTGCAATATAATCTTCAGCAACTTTTTCAATTGGTGGAATCTCTGGTGGTGTGAGATTCCAACCTCTTTTCCAACCTGTGAAATCCATATCTGGACAAATCACCAGCTCCCACGAGCAGCTTCATGTAAATAGATGCACTCCAAGTGGATTGCATGCCTCAGGTATTTGTCTTCTACTTCTAGTAATCATGGAGTGTGGAACATCCAGATCAACACACATTTCATTACAAGGGGAGAGACTGCAAACACCAGGTCCTTGATAAAAACCCTTAATGCTGCATCTCTGCTAGTTGTAAGGAGATACCAGAATGGAGGCAAGTTTTGCTATGTGGAGGAAACTGATTATGTACTGTACTTTGATACATGAATCTGCCTAATGCAGTTACCAGAAACTGCTTGGCACTGTGGCCATGCATCTGAGATGCCATTCCTTGAACATGTAAGGAAACACTTGCATCTGTGTGGATTGTATTTGATCGGAATATTATAACTTGCATAAAAAAATAGAAAATATATCCAGTTGGTTCAAGCTTAAGATGTATTTTGAGTCTGTTCTTGTAACTGTAGAAACATCAGCTTTTGTATATAATGCTCAACTTGCACTTGACTATCAAATCCATTAAAAACAAATCTTGCACATGATGTGTGTGGCATGTTTCTTGGGTCTGTTTTCCATTCACAGAAAACTGTTTGGAAAATAGTATTAGTCTTGTTATTGTCACTAATTTGGTAAGACATACCTTCTTGGCACCTTATATTTACTGTGTATCCTAGAACGGTAGGATTGTTTGTTTTTAACCTTAATCTGTTACTCATGGCTTCTTGTCCCCAGAAAAATGATGTCCCATTTAGAACTTGGATGCAAGGTTGGAGGGTGCAGAGTGGGAAGGTGACAAAAATTAGTCACATATCCGGCCTTCAGGATCTCATAGTCTGGCAGGAGTGAGGAGATGCCTCCTGGTAACCAGCAAAGGCAGGAGGTTTCTGCAGAGAGTGAAGCATAGGGGCTGGGCGTGCACAAGCATGAGCTACCAGGTGGAAGAGAGGAGGTTCCAAGAGGGAGTGACCTCGGAGTCAGGCCTGCTGGGAGTTGGGGGTGCAATCTGCGTAGTCAGGAAGTCTAGCGTGCTTTGAGAACAGTAGGAGGAAATTGAGAAAGTATAATCAGCCACTGGAGAGAATTAAACAGAAAGCCTCGGAGACTAGACTCAGACGGACTGGACTCAGCGAGACAGCGCAGGCAGGAATCCGAACTCCAGGCCTCCCTGGGGCTGTACCGGAGGTCCCCGGCAGAGGGCGCGATCCCGCCCAGGGGCCTTCAATCTTGCAGCGACGGCGCGGGCGGCGCTTCCGGCGAGGGCGGGGCCTCCGGCGAGGGCGGGGCTTCCGGCGGCGCGCTAGGTCACTGGGAGCCTGGGCCCGACTCGACATTCGCACACGCACGTGTCTGCCGCCGCCTTCGCGATGCTCCCTCTGCTCCGCTGCGTGCCCCGTGCCCTGGGCCCCGCCATCACCGGCCTTCGCGCCGCCGCGCCCGCCGCCCCGCTCCGACAGCTACTGCAGCTGGCGCCCCGGCCGTGCGCCCGGCCCTTCGGATTGCTCAGCGTGCGCGCGGGCTCTGTGCGGCGGCCGGGCCTCCTGCGGCCTCCCGGGCCCTGCGCCTGCGGCTGCGGCTGCGGCGCGCTGCACACCGATGGTGAGGTTCGCGCACGCGGGGCGGGGCGTTGTGGCAGGGGTTGGGGGAGTCGTCCGGAGCAGGAAGGTGTAGAGTGCCAGTAGTGGGTCGCCCTGAACCGGGGTCCGTGACATTTGGCAGCCAGCGGGTAAAACCCACGTGTTAAATGTTCCCCTTCCTCTCCCACCCACCCAATATTTGGGAGCGATGATAAGACTGAATATTTGAGGGCACTTTTATCCTTAGTTTCTTGAAATTGAGCTTTTAGGAAGGCCCAAGGTCGTGGTTGAAAGCCTGGTTATATCTGCTGGTAAGTGGAAGACGGAAATTGGGAAATGGTAATGGGTGTGTATCACTGGAAATCACTTTGCCAGAGTCAAGTTCAACTACCTACTAATATTATTATGGTAATTTTGCAGTTGAAGAAATATGCTTAAAAGTGTGAATTGGGTTAAGGTCTCAGAGGAACCATAATAGCTGAAGGATTAGAAACTCTCCAAATCCAGATGTCTGGCTGCAGTAACCTGGGTAATTGTTTCATACTAAAATAATTGGCTTGTGTTTTTGAGTATCATATGGATTTCTTTTCTAGGGGACAAAGCTTTTGCTGAATTTCTGAGTGATGAAATTAAGGAGGAAAAGAAAATTCAGAAGCATAAGTCCCTCCCCAAGATGTCTGGAGGTTGGGAGCTGGAAGTGAATGGGACAGAAGCTAAATTAGTGCGGAAAGTTGCTGGGGAAAAGTAAGTACTGGTCTGGGGACTGAACTCCAGGGGACCAAATCTGTGACTCTACAGGACCTGTCCTGGGTCATCCCCAGAGGTGGATACTTTGGTATGAGAGAGAGTTTTCAAGAGACAGAGGATTCATTTTGAACAATTTCATAAGCTCCTGATAGTTCATTCATTGAACACAGATTTGCTGTGGGCTAGTTACTAAAGAGACAATAAGAAAGTAGCACAAAAGTATGTAGCTGGAAGTCTATTGAAAGGTAGAGATTCAGTAAATCTTTACTGTTGAAGGAAGCCATACCCTGCCTAAATTTAGGCATGAAGATTCAGAAGTTCTTATAGTAGTGATAGAATTAGTTTGATCTCTGGTTTACAGTCCTGATAGAACTGGCTTGGGGCCAGGCACAGTGGTTCACACCTATAATCCTAGCACTCTGGGAGGTTGAGGCAGGATTGCTTGAGCTGGGAATTCCAGACCAGCCTGGGCTAGAGCAAGACCCTGTCTCTACTTTAAAAAAAAAATTGGCTGAGCGCAGTGGCATGTTCCTGTAGTCCCAGCTACTTGGGAGACTGAGGCAGGAGGATCACTGGAGCCCAGGAATTTGAGATTGCAGTGAGTTATGATGATGCCACTGGGCGACAGAGAAACTGTCAAAAAAACAGAACACTGGCCTGTTCCTGCCCCCTAATTTTTACAACATTTGAAAATACAAAATAATGTAACTTCCATGTAACAGGATAGCGTTACAATGTAGTGAGGATTGCCATCAGAAAGAGACATGGGTTTTTAACCTAGTTTAGCTCCTCCCTCCTAGACTTTGTCTCAAAAAAAAAAAGTCCCAGGGTAGGGACTGGGACTACAGGCGTGTGCCACCATGCCCAGCTAATTTTTTTTTCTATATATTTTTAGCTGTTCAAGTAATTTCTTTCTGTTTTTAGTAGAGACAGGGTCTCGCTCTTGCTCAGGCTGGTCTTGAACGCCTGAGCTCAAATGATCCACCGGCCTCAGCTTCCCAGAGTGCTAGGATTACAGGCCTGAGCCACCGTACCCGGCCCCTCCTAGACTGTTAAGTGTTGTTTATACTTGTATCATGCAGTCATCCATAATCCTGTTACTCAGATAAACACTTAGAATCTCCTAATTTTTCTTGAAATTTTTTTATAGTTGACCTCACAATGTGCTTGCAATTCTGTATCTTGTTTTTTAAGTAACAGCTTTATTGAAATTTTAATTTATATGCCATAAAATTCACCCTTTTGTTGAAGTATACAATAATCAGTCACCACTATCTAATTCTAGAACATTGTCATCACCCCAAAACAATACCCATTATCAGTCACTATTTCTCCCTCCCTCTAGCCCCTGGCAACCAACTAAGTTACTTTCTCTGTACATCACCTATTTTGGACATTTCATATAAGTGGAATCATTCATTTTGTGGCCTTTTGTGTCTGCCTTCTTTAACTTAGCATTGTTTTCAAAGTTCATCCGTATTGACAGTAGCATGTATCAGTACTTAGCTTCTTTATATGGCTGAAGAATATTCCATTGTATGGACATATACCACATTTTATCCATCAGTTGAGAGACATCTGACTTCACCTTTTAGCTATATGAATAATACCATGAACATTTATGTACAAATTTTTCTGTTGAATATACCTGCGAGTGGAATTGCTGGGTCACACAGTAACTGTATGTTGACCTTTTTGAAGAAACTGTCAGACTGTATCATTTTGGCCATCCTAGTGGATGTGAAGTGGTATCTCATTGTGATTTTGATTCAATTCCTCTAATGACTGATGATGAGCATCTTTTTGTGTTTATTGGCCATTTGTATTTCTTCCTTGGAGAAATGTCCAAATTTTTTTTTAAATTGGGCTATTTGTCTTTTTATTGTTGTTAAGAGTTCTTTATATTTTCTGGATATAATTCCCTTATCAGATACAGGATTTGCCTGTCCTGTGGGTTTTCTTTTCACTTTCTTGGTTGTACCCTTTGACACACACAAGTTTTTAATTTTGATGGAAGTCAAGTTTACCTGTTTTTCCCTTTGTCATTTTTGCTTTTTAGTGTTACATCTAAGAAAGTACTGCTTAACCCAGTGTTGTGAAGAGTTATACTTATGTTTTCGTCTAAGGGTTTTATGGTGTTAGCTCATGTTTAAGTCTATGATCTATTTTGAGTTAACTTTTGTGTATGGTGTGAAGTAGGCTTCTGATTCTTTTTTGCCTAGCATATAGTGCTTTTCCCATATATAGGTCAATTATGTGTTCTGTAACCTCACCTAAACCATTTTCCTAGGTATTTCATTACCAGTATGGGGTTGTTATAAATAAATGTTCTGATGAACATCACTGCATTTCTGTGGCCAGTTCAGCTTAGTCAGCACTGTTGCAGATTCAACAAATTTTGTGGCTGAGCCTCAAACTGCAGTTCTTTTTTTTCTTTGGAGACAGAGTCTCGCTTTGTTGCCCAGGCAGAGTGAGTGCCATGGCGTCAGCCTAGCTCACAGCAACCTCAAACTCCTGGGCTCAAGCAATCCTGCTGCCTCAGCCTCCCAAGTAGCTGGGACTACAGGCATGCACCACCATGCCTGGCTAATTTTTTCTCTATATATTAGTTGGCCAATTAATTTCTATTTATAGTAGAGACAGGGTCTCGCTCTTGCTCAGGCTGGTTTTGAACTCCTGACCTCAAGCAATCCGCCCACCTTGGCCTCCCAGACAAACTGCAGTTCTTATGGGAAAGCTGCTTCATGGCAAGACAGCCAGCCAGTTAGCACGACTCCAGGGGGCAGCAATTAGCCTACTCTTGTACAGAACTTCTGGAGTTGTGTGGCCCAGCAGTTCTAGTTCCAAACCTCCTATCCTAGGAATTTTGACTCGGTTTTGGATCATGATTTGTCAGGTGAGAATTCTCGTGCCTTAAAATTTAAAATTGTCATTAGTTGGTGTTTCTGGCATGCTTTGTGATGATAAAACTTCTCACGAGTACTCTGAAGAATGCATCTGTCCTCAGCATGCTGTTCTTTGTGAGGCCTCCCCTTCCTAGGGCTAGGGCTAGGGCTGCTCTTGGTCCTCAACTGATGCAGCCCTCAGTGCTCCTCCTTCCAGAGGCAGATTTTGTGGTAAAGAAAAACTCTTAAAGGGGCTTCTATTCCATCCTACCAGCTTCTCAGCTGCTCACTTTTTCCAGGGTTCCCTGGAAAGAGCAGGGTGGACTGTGTCAGGGGCTGTGGCCGTGAGACAACCAGTAGACACATGGCAGTGAGCCCTGGGGCACTGGCCTGATGGAAGTAGCCCGAGCATGACTGGCTGAGATAAACTAGGGCCTGTAGGTTTGACTTCCGGCAGCTGGCACATAGTAGGCACACTCTGGACCTGCTGAGTCAGTCTCAGAGTTGGATGTAGACACCCAGCCTGCAAATAATTTAGATATACAGTCAGCTAGGGTAGAGGCATTGTTTCAGTAAACCTTAACTGTTGCATGTCTCCAGGCTTATCTGTTACTCTGCTCAGGTTAAACTGCCTTGTCTATGTGTTCTTCTTTTCTAGGATCACTGTCACTTTCAACATTAACAACAGCATCCCACCTACGTTTGATGGTGAGGAGGAGTCCTCCCAAGGGCAGAAGGTTGAGGAACAGGAGGTAAGCTCCTCACAGTATTAGCTTTTACCTCAGTTCTGATAAGCTGCTCCAGGGGCTTAGAGAAGGAGCTTTTATTTTTAAATTCCCTCTAATGCTAGAAGAGATAAGGCAAAGGACACCCATCCTTGGTACTTGAGTGGCAGAATCGATAGTTTCTGGCCAGCTTTAGCACTGGGGCTGTGGCCTCTCTTCTCCAGGGACTGAATAAGTTGCCATCGGCAGGGTCAGGCTTTATGGTTTGGCCCATATTCTCTTAGCAGAAAAGAACTGAAACTGTCTCAACCCCTCTCATAATGAAGAGATGTTTGATATGGGAGATTATCATTTGGTGTGTTTCCATGTAAGGAATGTTCCTAAAACGTCACAAGCTGGTAACAAACATTAGCCACTTAACCAAGTAAGAAAGCCAAGGGCAACAGAGATTTTAACACTTGGCCAGGTAGAGATCTTTTCCTTAGGTTTCTGGCTCTCTTGGTTGGACCTGGATGGGACCCAGTTTTCAAACATTTTGGGAAGTGGTGTACCCAGCCTAGAAACCAGTATGGGAGCCACTGACTCCCTAGATCTGACCAAGCAGGCATCAGTACAGTCTTGCCTCTTGGCCTAGTGTGGAGAGTACAGCCCTCCAAGGTGCTTCTATCTTAGTCACCCTGACTAGCATCTCCCTGACATTGGACTCAGTCGGCTCCCACGGCTCACCATCAAAGAAGAGCTGCTGCCATTATTCAGCCCTTAGGATGGCCACTTAGCCAGGTGCACCAGCCGTTGTGGTCTGTAGTAAAGGAAGACTCCTCAAACAGTCAAGCTGGAAAGAGATCTTGGAAACTTAAGCAAACTTTGCAGCGTATGGATGGAGAAACAGGCCCAAGAAACTTAAAGGGACTGATCTAAATGTCAAATAATTGGCACATAGCTAGGGCCAGAATGCACATTTCATTCTAAACCCAGTGTGTTCTTTAACCAAGTAGGATGCTAACAGAAGTGAGATATCCTTTATTAAAGATTCTAAGCTGCTTATTTGGGAATGCTATAGCATAAGACTATTAAAGTGGCTAAAAAATATCCTAATAGTAGTGGCCATCAGACACTCTGAACTGTCTGAGACCTTTGGTCCAGGTATCTAACCCTTTCCAACAATGGCATGTACTGACTTTTTGTTTCCCCAGCCTGAATTGACGTCAACTCCTAATTTCGTGGTTGAAGTTACAAAGAATGATGGCAAGAAGGCCCTTGTGCTAGATTGCCACTATCCAGAGGATGAGGTATGCAGGGTGGAATTGACAGCCCCTTGGGAACAAGGAGTTTCTGGGGACCTTCCTGGTCCTTTTTAGCAGACATTTAAAAGACTTTGTATCTTAGACCATGGGAAGAGAGGTGGGGGATGAGGGAGGGAATAAGAGTAAGACCTGGTGAGTGTAAAGCTGTAAGGTCATTTTCTTTGCTTGAGTCTGGCTTGTCCTGAAAAACCCTTCAGTTTCCCCAAATATGCTTCCTTTCAGGTTGGACAAGAGGAGGAGGATGAGAGTGACATTTTCTCTATCAGGGAAGTTAGCTTTCAGTCCACTGGTGATTCTGAATGGAAGGACACTAATTACACACTCAACACAGATTCCCTAGACTGGGTGAGTACTTGATAAGAGGGGGGATGCTCTTGGGCTTTGCATGGCAGGGTCCTAATTCAAGAAGACAAAGAAGTATTTTAATTAATATGCATTACAGATTGTCCTTTTTTTTTTTTTCTTTAACTAATGTTGTTCTTCATAGGCCTTGTATGACCACCTAATGGATTTCCTTGCGGACCGAGGGGTGGACAACACTTTTGCGGATGAGTTGGTGGAGCTCAGCACAGCCCTGGAACACCAGGAGTACATTAGTTTTCTTGAAGATCTCAAGAGTTTTATCAAGAGCCAGTAGAGCATACAGGGACACTGAGAGCCTTTCTTTTATGGCAGGCTCTGGCTGGTGAACAAATCCTCTGAAACCAGACACATGTGCTTTGAAATGGTTATCATCCTACTATCATGGAAGAAATAGCAAATTTAAATTATTTCTTTTGCATTCTCATTTAGTATTCATTTGCTTTTTTCTGTACAAATCTAGATTTTTGTATAACATAATGATGGACAATAAAATTGGTTTATCTCCTCCAAGGTAGTTTGTCTTCCATTTCTATTTCTTCCCCTCCAACCTGCATCACAAAACGCCAAGAGCAGAGATGTTTGAAAAGTTTTAATACAAAAAAGTTACAAATAAAAGGTTTGTATATACAAGGCTCCTTCTCAAGAGTGAATGAGTTGTTTAGAGGATCACAGCCCAAGTATCACAAGCCTAGAAAAAAATTAGCCTAAGTTATATTCTCGTCATGAAAATTATCTTACTATTTGGATCATAATATTTGGTTAAAAGTTGTAATCAATAACTAGAACTGAGTTCAGTTACAATTACAAATTAGTTCAGTGGTGTTTGTCAAACTGTTTGGCTGGGTCTTTGCTGTCCTGTAGCCTTCAAACAACAGCTTTGGAAACCATTAGCCATGTAGTCTTCAAGCTAAGATCAAATCCTGGAGCTTAAATAATCAAATATCCTCATCCTCAAGAAACCTGTGACCTGAAAGATTATTCAAACTCTTTACAGCTTAGAGCCCAGCAAGGAGGTGAGACTCTTTCAACAAAAGATTGACACAGGCATGCTCACTACAGGCAGAAACAACTTGGCGGCCCGCTAATTATACCACCCCTTCCCTTGACCTGTATTATCAGTAAGCATGTGAGTATAAAATTGGCTCCTGATTCCATGCTAAGGGATCTTGTCTATCCTTAACCTTGACTCTACTTCATTGGTAATATATTTGGCTTTCTCTGGAAGGCACTGAATCCTGCTAATGGGTGGTTTGGCAGCATATTCTATCCGCATGACCACCACCAAACCACTGTCATATCTCAAATATTCCAAGTCCTTGAAACACATCACCATCTTCTGTAACCCACACCTATCTTCTTCCACCTCATCCTCATCATGTATGCTGAATTACCCTATAAGCCTGACCTCACTGGATCTTAACCCAAGGGTCCTTCATTCCCCCCTTAAGTGGAAACTAAGGTCTAGTGGCAAACTGGAACTCCAGAACATTCCAAATTTCTACCTTTCAAAGTGTTCAACTCTGGGAGCCTGCTGAGTATAATTTTGTCTTTCCTTCACCGGTTGCCCATCTTTGCTGTGACATCCCCTTTCCCAACAATGGTCTCCCTGCCCACTCCAGAGCCAGCATTGTCAGTCACGCTCTCCCTAGGACTGCTGCACAGCACTCACCTTTCAAACCTCACCATCCATTTGGCATCACTGCTGCTCTGAGCTCCAGGGCACCAATGGTTAGGTGAGCAGATGACCGTGGTCCCTGACAAACACCTGCTGAGCTGCAGCTGTCCACTCAGCAGTTAAGCAGTCCTTTTAATTGTCCTTGCCATCCCCTCCAGCACTTGGTCTGAAACTTTCACACTCAAGGACCTCCACACTCCAGCTCTACTACCATTACAATCTGTGGATGACTCGCTTGTTCACTTTACTAAGAAGGCAGAAGAAGCCAAAGCCACCTGACTTAGGCCTCTGCAACTCTCCTACCTTAACTCATCTGCATAAACACATTCAGCACCTACTTATGTGCTAAGCACTAAGAGTAAAAGATACAGTCCTTGGCCTCAAGGACAAAGACATATGAACAGGTAACTGCAACAGTATTAGAGGTGACATGGCATCAGGTACTCAGGTTAGAGACTAACCCTTGAACCTCTGTGAAGACTATTGCTGAGGAATAAGCCTGATGCTGCCCTGCTGTGCTTCCTGTCCTGCTGCCTTCTGCAAAAGTGATGCCAAGAAGGCCTATCTGGGTGTGACAGTTATGAAATGACCAGCTGACCTAATAAGCAGACAGTGCACCCAGGCTTCCTAACTCCCAGACCAATGCTCCTGCCACACTCCTACAAAGCCTCTTCCCTTCCCCTTTCAGGGGATGATTGACCTTTTCGTTGAAGTGACCTGTGACCTTCACTTTCTATGCAAGTAAATTCCTCAGCCATTAAACAGCTGGTAAGATCTCTTAACCAATCTCCATTTAACCCCTTCTCCAGATTACCAATGCTCTCCACTCCTGCCATAAAACACACTGACTGTCACTCATGGCATGAAGAACATTAAAAAAGATAGTGAGCTATTTTCTAGCCTCCTTTTGCTCCTGCCCCCACCAGCTGTTTCTAAGCCATTATTTCTACCAAGGTGGGAATAAAACCAACCACCAACCCCCACTTACCACGCACTGGGTCCCATGAGAGGCTTACCAGACAGCTCATAAGAAGACTGGACTTTTCTTCTATTCCTTCAGTGACTGAAAATTGAGGTGTGTGGGAACAATGTGCACTGTGCTCATTTATACTTGCCTCTAAATAGGCACGAACCTTCTGCTCTGTCAACTCCGGACACTAAAAAATATAAACGTTCAACCTAATCTTAGCAACTTGATAATCAACAGTTTAAAAATCCTGATTCCTCCTGCTAACCAATATACTCTGGCTTACTGTGATGGCTTGATTCCTTGGAGCTTTCAAGAACCTCTTGGGTCCATGACTGTACTAAGAAGATCTCTTAACCAATCTCCATTTAACCCCTTCTCCAGATTACCAATGCTCTCCACTCCTGCCATAAAACATACTGACTGCCACTCATGGCACAAAGAACATTAAAAAAGATAGTGAGCTATTTTCTAGCCTCCCTCTGCTCCTGCCCCCACCAGCTGAGTGTATTTTTACCAAGAATCAGCAGTGTTTGCTCCCACATCTGTCTGTGCTAATTGAACTCAGTGATTTAATTATATAATATGTAAAGTAATGACATAGGGGAAGGGAAATAAAGTTTTGTTTTTATAATAAGCTTAAAAGTTTATGAAACACTCAAAAAGATAAGTTGCTTCAAAAAATAAAATATAAAAAGAGCAGGCTGGGCTCAGTGGCTCACTCCTATAATCCTAGCACTTTGGGAGGTCAAGGTGGGAGAAACCCTTGAGATCAGGAGTTTAAGACCACCCTGGACAACACAGTGAGACCCCATCTATAAAATTTGGGAAAAAAATTTAGCCAGGCGTGGTAGTGTGTGCCTGTAGTCCCAGCTACTCAGGAGGCTAAGGCAGAAGGATTGCTTGAGCCTAGGAGTTCAAGGCTGCAGTGAACTATGATTGTGCCACTGCACTCCAGCCTGGGTGACAGAGCAAGACCCTGTCGCAAAAAATAAAAATTAAAGTTAGGAAAAAAAAGAGAGCTTTTGAATTAGGTAAAAGATGAGGGAAAAATCCTAAAGTTGCACTCTGCTTCTAGATCCACTTTATAGAAGCAAAACTGGTAACTCTATGTATTACAGGGGTTGTTTATGTAAAAAAGATGACCCAGCTCTCTAGTCAGCAGAGCCCCAAAGACAGGCAAATAAATCTGTATGTCTGGAAATTATAAAATGAGTCATTTTTATAATTTGTCACTTTAACTAATTACTCAGTTAACTGGCAAGCGTGCAGTCCCCATCATCTCAGATAAGAGGGTTCCTGTATTTTAAATTACTAAAGCTTAAATTCTGAATTAAGTTTGTCATTGTATATGGAAAATTATATTAAATCTCTATAAAGATGTTAAAGCAGTGTAGGCCTCCAGGGACATAAAAGCCCTGTTCTCAAGTGTTTCCCAATTTTCATGCTGTATATATTCTCACCATGGTTGATTTGAAGCTACCCAATGTGACATCACTGAACATGAAATTGGGAAGAGATGTGCACAATCAGCTCCAGCCCACCACTGGAAGTTCTTCAAGAAAGTAGATATATGTGGGAAGAAGTGGCACGAAATCTGTATGTGGAACACTCACGTGAGATGGGATGGACAGGCCACACTGACACATGACCACACTGCTTGTGATTCTCAGGTTGTACCTAGAAGAAGAATTAGGATCCCATAGCATCATGGCCCCCAGACCTGGATCTCCAAAACTTTTCAGGCAACAAATTTTCGGGGAAATTTGGAGTGGGGGATGGGAACCAGTAATGCTAAAAAGGTTATATAAACTCTTACTTTGTACACACAGGACAGATGAGGGGGTTTGCCTCCCACTCAGCCAGCATGATGCTGAGACACTTTTCATCAAACTGCAAGCTCTTCTCATATTCGCTGATGATGGACTGTTCTGCAAGGCAAAGGAAGTTGGAATGCTTCACCATGCTTCACTCAGGTTGTCCTGTATTTAATGCTAAGCTGCACTTTCAAAGGCTTCTTCCAAATAAGGGAGAGATGCCACAGTACAATTACTGATATTTACCTCTCTCTCAGGTTAGCTTAATCTTTTTGTATCTCTTCCCCTCCCCTCCATCCTCTCCTTATGAAGAGGGAGGATAAGGGACAAGGAGACAACTTTCACATACATCTCTGGAGGCCACAGGAGCACAGATGTGGAATGACAGAATCCCAGGGGCAATTGCAGAAAGCTGATACTTACAAAGCACTTACTTCTGACACTAGGCCCATCCAGCTGAGCCTAAAGTGATGTGTTTCCCAATGTCCATATACTTGGAATCTATGTTCAGAATCTGTGTGCTCATTCATTCAGCAAACATGCAACAGTACCTAGTATGTACTAGTCATAGGGATATGCAGATGAAAAAGACTCCTGCCCTTGTGAGCCCACAATCTAGAGGCAAGGGTCAGCAAACTACAGCCACACTCTTGTTTACATATGGTCTATAACAGCTTTTCCACAACAACAGCAGAGCTGAGTAGCAGTGCCAGAGACCACATGGACTGCAAAGTCAGAAATATTTACTATCTGGCCCTTCCCAGAAAGTTTGCCAACCCCTGCTGTAGAATGTTCTTTATGGCTTTTTGTAAGCATAGCACAACATAGTAAATCCTTATCACTTCAGAGTTTTTAAGTATATACCATAAGAAATATTTAGTGAGTCATATATTTTACCACTAAGATATGTTTATAGGTGGGAGAAGGCCAAATCTATAGTAAAAAGATTGGCCAAGTGCAGTGGCTCATGCATGTAACCCCAACACTCTGAGAGGCTAAGATGGGAGGATCACCTGAGGCTAGGAGTTTGAGACCAGCAAGGGCAACATAGCAAGACCACGTCTCTACCAAAAAAAAAAAAGATAACTTAAGGAATTTACAGTCTAACTGGAGTCAATGACAAGCGTAAGAACAACTGACACTTGCATAGAATTTACTGTGTCAAATGCTATTTTAAGTTCTTTATATAGATATTACCTCTTCAATGTTATTATCCTTATTCCAAAGATGAAGAAACTGAGGCACAGGGAAATGAAATGCTTTGTTCAGTCAAGTCATAAAGCTGAGAAGTGAATCTTAGCAGTGTGGCTCCAGAGTATGTGCTTCTGCCTCCCCATAACAATAGCTATCAATTATTGAAAGCTTTCTATATGCCAGTCACTGCACTAACGTCTTCTACATATATTATTTAAGCCTTACAAAAAACTTATAAGGTAAGTCTATTATCTCTACAGGTGATAAAAGTGAAGCCTAGTCAAGACAAGATATGTGGAATAAATGACCTGCTAAATTATACACCCCACACGGTGCTATGGACACCTCAAAGAGTGTCACAAGACCCTGGGGAGTCAGTAAAGAATGGATGGGAGGGAGGGCACTTAAATTGGGTGGAGCAAGGGATCCAACCATGCACTGTCTCTTGCAAAGTAGCAGATTTACTATTAACCTATTAAGAGAGAGGCAAGATAGTAGAATAAACATGGGAACTGGATTCACACAATTGATTTTGCTTCCCAACTCCACCACTTACTAGCTGTGTGATCTGCATGAAAATACCACCTTCTGTTCTGTCAAATAGTACTATCTTGTACAGTAGTCACAGGACAAAACAGTATATGAACTGAGAAGTTCTTAGCATAAAGCCTAATACCCTGAAAACCCTTATTATTGGGAAGATGGACAGTCAAAACTTCAGAGTACAAACACAGTTTTCTGGCCACTTGACTGAAGATGGAGGTACAAGGAGGGGAGTTAAGAATCAATCCTGGTTGAAGGAAAGGTCAGCATTAAAGTAGCTAAATACAGGTGGGAAGGACTACTCCCAGGGGCTACCTTGCTCAATCAGCTCCTGCTCGATTTCTTCCAATACAGCCAGGTCCATCACCTCCAACTGCAAGAGAAAGTGGAGTCATCAGAGGTTTGAAGTAATAATCAGCCACTAAGTCCCACAATGATTCATACTTGAAAGCTGGCTTGAAGAACCCAGATTTACCTGACAAAATCAATCCAGTCCTCCTGCAGAATATGCTGACTACAGGGTAAGGTGGTCATGCTAAATCACCAACAAATGATCAAAACTATCCATGACAAAATAACAGCACCAATTTTGGGAGAGACAGTATAGGGCAGCAATTAAGTATATGTTCTTCCAGGGCTATGTGACCACAGGAAAGTTCCTAATCTCTGTAAAACTCTGTTTTGGCCTTTGTGAAGTGGGAATAAAACCTACCTGAGAGTGTTATTGTCAGCACTAATTGTGGTGATGGAAAGGCAAACACTAGCATACTGCAGGACACACAGAAGCCATGGAATACCGATTATTATATAGTAATATGGCTATATATTTCCCCATTATTTGGACATTCCATAGGCTGCTGTCCATTAAGTTTACTCCAGCACCTAACAGTGTCTAGCACATAGTAGATACTTAAGACATGTTTGGAGAATGTAGTAAGAGCTGCAATAGTGTGTATAATTGAGGGACCACTGAGTTTTCAAAGAGGTTTCAAGCTGTATTTGTGCATTTTTTCACAACCTTGAACTTGTTAGAAGTCTTGATTTCATGTCACTTTAAAATTAAATGTTACGGAATATCGTATTTCACAATTCAACTGCTTTGATGGCTTCAAAGCAGTTTCTCACATGTTTTCTTACATAGTACTCACATTTTGGACAACACTATCTTCTCCACTTTATAAATATGAAAACTAAAGCTCAAAAAGGCAGAAGAGTCAAGAGCAAAACCAGGATTAGAATCCAGAACTCCTGACTTCCAATCCAGTGCTCTTCCTGATACACTGTAAATGGTTTCCTATCCATACCCAGTTCCCAACTCTGGTTGAAATTAGAATCACAAAATTCCTGGAGAGCTTTTTAAAGAGATTCCTAGCTGATGCCTACTGAATAATTTCCAAAGGTGAAGGCAAAAAACAAAATTTCTTTCTTTTTAGTTTCATAAGTGATGATGGTGCAATTATACAGCAGGTCTACAGTAGGGTACTAAGGAACCATTGACCTACTATAATAATAGAAGAGCCTAAAGTTAAAGGTAGATGAGCCTGAGTTAAAGGCTGTTAGAATTCCAATTGGGAGCTGGGGGCTGGGCTTAGAGGACTTGCATAAACCGTAGAGAGGACACTAGTTCTTGGGGGTATAATCCCCCTCCCTGAAAACACATAGCCCAGACTGACCTTAGCCAAAGCCTCTGGACAGTTCTCCACTGACTGCAAAGCCATCCACTCTTCTTCCATCACCTCTTGCACTACAAAGGTGTTCTGAGCTCTCCCTGGCATATTGCCTCCAGTCTGGCGGTACCTGTTCAGGAGTCTGGCCCGACTGTTTTTCATTCTCTCCAGGCATCTCTTAGCAGAGGGGAAAAAAAGAAAGATAGGAGCAGGGGCAATTCCATTAAAAAACACACAAACACACACAAAACTCGTAGATTAGTTGGTAAAACATTAAAAGAAATTTATAGACACAAAATTTTAACTATTATCCTAACTACTGTTATTTTTGCATATTCCCCTCTAGTCCTTATCCACTTGGAGATACATACAATTAGTTCATGTATTTCTAGATAACCATATTTCATATCCTATCTTCTATGCCAGCTTCCTTAATGGCTGGATGTATAATATCTCAGCATCCACTGTCCTATTACAGAACATTTATATTGCTTCCAAATTCTTTCTACTCTAGCTACCGCTGTGGTAAGGCCTTCCTGTACAACAGTGTTTCTAAATTTAGGATGATTTTATCCCCAGGGGACACTTGACAAAGCTTGGAGATATTTTGGTTGTCACATCTACGGTTGCAGTACTATTGTAGTACTGTAGTATTTTTGGTTGTCACATCTCTGGTAGAGACCAGGGATGCTGCTAAACATCCTACAATGTACAGAACAGCTCTTCACAATAAAAAATGATCTCCCTCAAAATGCCAATAGCCAAGGCTGAGAAACCCTGATGTACACAATCTTTCTAGCGTCAGACTATTTTCCTGGGATACATCCACTGCTTTAGAGATGCCTGGAGAAATAGGCAACATTACTTACTAGCACCCATCTGTGTTGGGAAGAGACCACAACTGAGGTAGAGCACAACTCTGCTAAGAGTAACGAAGGCTCTTTTGAGCCTCGGTGTACTACTCTCTAGAACAGAAATAATTTCTGTCTCACATGACGTATATATACAAAGTGCCTCTCTTGGCGCCCACCTACCCAACAACAGTAGGTGGTGTTATTGTAGAGGTGCAAAGGGTACGTACGGTCATGACCACAATTCAAACTGAAAACACACCCAAATCCAAAAACAAGGCTTCCTGGGACTGAGCCCACCCAGGCTAGTCCCACAGTCAGGGGACCAAACACTCCTGGAGGCGGGGGAGAGGAGGGGGTGGCCAAGACCCAAGCCTTCAGGCAGGAGGTCTGGGTTCACGGTCCACCTCCGCTGGGCAAGCGCTCCCGGCACCTGCTTCACGGAGCAGGGCTGAGGCGAAGGCAAAGAAGACAGCAGTCCCCGCGAGTGGTTAGGGGAGAAAACCACGGCCCACACCCCGCACTCACCTGCCTGAAAGCCTCTTTCCAAGACGGCGAGCCCAGCAGCTTGTACAGCGAACGGTGCCGAGACCCCGACGGCTCCGCCATCGCCTCTTTGCCGGAGTCGCCAACAAAAGCACCGCCCGCTAGGGGCGCGCACGGAACTCTGGGAGTGGTTGTTTCTGTGCGCTGAACGCACTTACATCGCATGGAATTCTGGGAAGTGTGGTCTTACCGACGGGCCCCCCACGAAGACAGATTCCGGCAACCCAAGGATGGGTGGCTGAAGTCGTGATCCTTGTGAAGTAAACCCAACCTGCACTGACCGAGATAAGTCTTGAAAGAAAGTTCTGGATGCGTGGAGATGTCCACTAGGCAATTAGATACACAGGTCTCAGACTCTCCCAGGTACCAGACTTCAGCAGCACCAAAGCTTTCTCTCCACAGGTACTGTTGTGTTGACTTCTCGCCCCGCCCCCTTTGGCTTCAGAATAAATGCTAGACTGGCGATTGGCTTTCCTCTGACGATGCACCCGCCTGATGGGCTGCCCGCTCCTTCGTCCCGCCCCTAGCACGAGCCTCTCGCGCTGTCGGACCGCCTGCTCGGTAATTGGCCGAAGCAGTGGACAGCTGGCCGCCGATTGGCTGCGCTCTGCGGCGGGCTGAGCAACTGGAGTGAGAGAAGCAGTTGGGCCAAGATGGCGGCTGCCGAAGGGCCCATGGGCGACGGTGAGCTGTGGCAGACCTGGCTTCCTAGCCATGTCGTGTTCTTGCGGCTCCGGGAGGGACTGAAAAACCAGAGCCCAGCCGAGGCTGAGAAACCAGATTCTTCATCATTACCTTCGTCGCCGCCGGTGCCGTTGCTGACGAGAAACTTGGTCTTCGGCCTCAGCGGAGAGCTCTTCCTGTGGGACGGAGAAGGCAGCTCCTTTCTAGTCGTTCGCCTTCGGGGCCCCAGCGGTGGCGGTGAGGAGCCTCCCCTCTCCCAGTACCAGGTATGGCCAGGCAGCTCTTGGTAGTGACCCTCGGCCGCGATCTGAACTAGTGTTTTTGTTGCCTTCCCATCTTGGCTGTTTTCGTCTTTTGGTAGGTGTGCTATTAAGGCGTAAGCTGACGTCTTTCCGGGGACGTCCCATTTCAGTGGGAAAGTCCTTCACTCTAATTTTTTTCCGCTTCAGTATGGCCGTATAACCTTTTAGAGCCTCAGATTCCGTATTTCCTTCCTTGGGCAAATGTTTGAGATTCCGACACTACCAGACACTATTATAAGAAGTCATGCCCTCAAGATGCTTAAGTTCTGGAGGCCTGGGAAGAAAGGAAGGACCGTGGAATAATCAGTATCAGTGATGGTTAAGTGTTGCAAAGAAAAACAGCAGAGTAAAGGGATAGAGAATGTGTAGGCGGAGTTGCTATTTTTAGTGGTTGGTGAAGAGAAACCTGTTTCATTACGTGACACCGATAAACTAATAGGTATAACCAACTTTCTCTTGGGGTTGTTGTGAGCATCAAGTCAGATGGTAGATTTGAAAACACCAGGTTTTCTCTCTTGACATGGAGGAGGAAGCCTCTGTTAATTCTTTTTTTTTTTGGTCTTTTAGAAAATTCGGCCATTCCCACAGCGGGAAGAGATTTTTGTTTTTGATAAGCCAACAGCATGTGAAAGAAGATGGGGGTTGAGTATGGAGGAAAGAAGAAAAGAATCACTGACAAGAAAAAATTGATTAGAATCAGTGAAGGGCAACTAAAAAACAACAACAAAAAAAACCAGGTTTCAGGCATCAGTAGCAATTAATAGGAATTTCATTGTATTCAGCACAGTCTCATCTAAAAGGATTTTGCTTAGGTTGATTCTTCATATATAGGGTAAACAGTGGTGAATTACTCATGGTGTATTACTGAAAGTAGAAAGAAATAAAATGGGAATCTGAGATGGTCATGAGAGAAATAGAAATTATCAGCAGAAGTGAATTCTGAGGACATGTGATGCTGAGACAAATAACTTATCAGAACCCCCTGAAAATATCACAGTTACTAAGTCTGCATAGGTAAAGCAGCATTCTGCTTGCTGCAGAAGCTCTTAAAGTCATTCTTTATCTTATTGTACTATTTGTAATATAGTAATTATCATTTCTTAGTACTAATGAGTTCACATCTATTTAGTAAGTATCTGTTAAGAGCCAGCGATGTGCCAGAATGCTAAGAATACAGAGAGGAAAGACACAAATCTCAAGTAATTCATAGTGAGTTGTGTGGGATGAACAAGTAAAAAGGATAGTTAGAATGCAGTGTGATAAGAACTATAATAGATTTATCAGAGTGTGCTACAGAAGTACAGAAAAGATGCAGTTATTCCTGGCAAGAACATAAATACTTTCTCGGGTAGAAAGTATAATACGTAGAAGCTGGGTCTCCTAGAATGAATAAGTCTTGTTAGCCAGCTAAAAAAGAAAAACAGGGGCATTGCAAGAGGAGAAACAATTATGCAAAGATACAGAGGCAGAGCAAATAATGATTTCCCAGAAATATAAGCTAATCTGATTGGACTGTAAAGTACAAGGGGAGAATGGTAAAGAAATAAAACTGAATGATAAGCTGAAGCTGGATCATAAGAAGGAAAATTATGTCTAGTAGTCTCTATTTATCAAGGTAAAGAAATCTGATTTATTTTATATAACATCCCAACCTAAATGATTAAAAATGTTTCATCAATTAATGGTCCAAATGTTAGTACTTATCCAGGATGCTTCATTATCCTATAATTATAGAAAACTAAAGCATTACTGTTCACATATATAGATTCAAGTAACTGTTGCGTATATTTAAATTAAAATTAACTATTTTGACTGGTTTGCTTTAATTTCCAGAGATTGCTTTGCATAAATCCACCCCTGTTTGAGATCTATCAAGTCTTGCTAAGTCCAACACAACATCACGCAGCACTTATAGGAATAAAAGGACTTATGGTATTAGAATTACCTAAAAGATGGGGGAAGAATTCTGAATTTGAAGGCGGAAAATCAGTAGTGAATTGTAGGTAAGTTCTATATCCATTTAGTGTGTATCTGTATAATTTGCAGGCTGGGCACAGTGGCTCATGCCTGTAATCCTAGCACTCTGGGAGGCCAAAGGCAGGTCGATTGCTTGAGCTCAGGGGTTTGAGACCAGCCTGAGCAAGAGCGAGATCCTGTCTCTACTAAAAATAGAAAGAAATTAGCTGGACAACTAAAAATATATAGAAAAAAATAGCCGGGCATGGTGGTACATGCCTGTAGTCCCAACTATTCTGGAGGCTGAGGCAGAAGGATTGCTTGAGCCCAGGAGTTTGAAGTTGCTATGAGCTAGGCTGATGCCACAGCACTCTAGCCTGGGGCAACAGAGTGAGACTCTGTCTAAAAAAAAAAATTTGTAATACATACAGAAAATTGTTCAAAACTAGAGGTTCCTAAAGTGTGTTTAGTATATTACTGTTGAAATATTGGAGCACTCCACGTGGTCTGCAGACTGGCATCTTGTAATATTAATGTTCATACTGTATGTGTAGTTGTACTTTTATTCTGCCTGAATTAATACATCCCTGACTCATTGGAAGTTAGGCCATTTTTCCAATTAGGTAGAAATAAGATTTTATTCTGTGAGCCACAAGTTTGCTTAGAAGTTTATCTAGATCTTATTTTTTTATTTTTTATTTTTTTTGAGACAGAGTCTCACTTTTGTTGCCCAGGCTAGAGTGAGTGCCGTGGCGTCAGCCTAGCTCACAGCAACCTCAAACTCCTGGGCTCAAGCAATCCTCCTGCCTCAGCCTCCCAAGTAGCTGGGACTACAGGCATGCACCACCATGCCCGGCTAATTTTTTATATATATACTTTTAGTTGGTCAATTAATTTCTTTCTATTTTTTTAGTAGAGATGGGGTCTCACTCAGGCTGGTTTCGAACTCCCAACCTCGAGCAATCCGCCCGCCTCGGCCTCCCAGAGTGCTAGGATTACAGGCGTGAGCCACCGCGCCTAGCCTCTAGATCTTATTTTTATGTAATATCTTTTTCAACAAATCCAGAAACATGATTCTGAATGATCTGAAAAGAATACAGACGAGATTGTGCTTGTTCAGGGTGGTATAGCTGTAGTGAAAATGCTTCTTAACTTATGATGGGTTATGTCCCAATAAACTCAATGCAAGTTGAAAAATTTTTAAGTTGGAAATGCATTTAATGCTGGCAGTATAGCACATGGTCCCTAGTTTAGGATGGTTCAATTTAGGATTTTTTGACTTTGTGAAGGACAACCCCATTGTAAGTCATAAGGAGCTCCTCAGCTTATGATGGATAAAAACCCATCATAAAGTTGAAAAATCCCAAGTCTATCCATAGTAAGTCGGGCCCATCAGTATAAGGTAAAAACTCACCTTTCATTCCACAACTTATAAGTTGAGTCCCCTTAAACTGTTTGTTTTCTTTCTTCCTTTTTCTTTTTTTTTTAAGAGACAGGTTCTCTGTCGATTGCCTGGGCTAGACAGTAGTGGTGTCATCATAGCTCACTGCAACTTCAAACTCTTGGGGCTCAAGCAATCCTTTTTCCTCAGCCTCCCAAGTAATTGAGACTATAGGCATGTGCCACCACACCCGGCTAGTTTTTCTGTTATTTCATAGAGATGAAGTCTTGCTGTGTTTCTCAGGCTGGTCTCAAACTCCTGGGCTCAAGTGATCCTCCCGCCTTGGCCTACCAAAGTGCTAGGATTATAGGCATGAGCCACTGTGCCTGACCAAACTGTTTCTTTTCTAAATCTGTTTTCCTCATTTTCAAAATAAGAATAATAGTATCTGACCTTATAGTTCCCTTACAAGGCTAGTAAAAGAATCACATTAAGATACTATATATGAAAACACTTGTATCCTATAAAATATGCTATAATTTCAAAAGTATTTTTGATTCTTTGATATTGATTGAATAGATGCTTTGCTCTTTCAGCAAGATTTAAGGGAAAGAAATTTAAAGAAAAAAAAAGGAAAGAGTGTTAAAATAGATTTTCCTTTAGAAGGTTTTTTATCCAAGTTCTACAAAATGTTTTGGAAAAATGTTATCTTTATTTTAGTACCACTCCAATTGCTGAGAGATTTTTCACCAGTTCTACCTCTCTGACTCTGAAGCATGCTGCCTGGTATCCAAGTGAAATGCTGGATCCCCACATAGTGCTGTTAACATCAGATAATGTAATAAGGTAAATTTTATTTTTATCTCTCTTGTAGCTTTGTGGGAAGGCTCTGTTCTTTTTTGCCAGTTAACAGCTCAGCATATCACCAAATGATTCATTAAATGTTGGAATGCTTTTTATCTGATGGCTGTCGTAACCCATTCTTGATCATAAGAATCACCTAACTATTACTACTATTCCCTCCATTAGTCTTCCTGCCTCCAAGTCTCTCCTAATCTGACCTGTAAATACTGGTAGAAAAATCTTTCCCAAACTCTTCATCATATCACTCTTTTGGTGATGACGTAACATCAAGAAAGAGAATATAATTAGAAATCGAAGGATTCAAAATGTTATCCCAGTGCCACTTCTATCATCTTTGAGATCTTGAACTTCTTTTGGGG